TGTGCAGATCAAAAGCATATGATAAACTAACCTGATTAATTCTTTGTTCAAATTCACACAGTTTAATGCTCTCTTGGAGTTTCGTTTTATGATGTTCCCAGAGATTCAGCCATTCTTCTTTGCGAGTGTCTGTTTGATCAACATATCTCTTGATCTGTTCTCGAGACACGCTTACGGTAGCATCGTTCTCTGATTTTGTCAAAATATCATGACCACATCGCACTGTGAAGTTATACTGGTCTAAGACTGTGTCGTATGAGGCCAAGTGGTCTTGTAACATCAGCTGAGCTTTGGTTAAGTCTGATGTTGACTTGGTGCTGCTGAAGTTGACCGCCATTTGGTTCAGTAACTGCATTAACTGTAAAAAATGTGTCAAGTACGATGTTAAAACACTACAATACCATAACACCATACCATACCATACCATACCATACCATAACACCATAACATACCATACCATAACACCATAACATACCATACCATAACATACCATACCATACCATACCATACCATACCATAACACCATACCACACCACACCATAACAATTAAACCTCATTTCTTAATCCTCACCCTTTCAACACTTTGATAAAAAGTGCAGCACATTGACAAGAAGACTTCGTAATCAGCCAGGCATGTCTTAAAACGTTCGTAAACAATCTTCAATTCATCCGTTACAATACGCAACGCTGCTTGCTCGTTGCTTTCGACCAAAACCAAGCTTTCAGCAGCTGCGAGATGTTGCTTGACAGCCTCTTCTGCGATCTAAATTAAAGAAAAAACACAATGAATTGAACAGCAGAAGGCTCTAAACTAAATAACTCACAATAGAGGACTTGCCTTCGCTGAGGTCTTGTATTTTTCAAGTCGTTTTTCGAGGTCTTGAGCGTTGACTGGAAATAGATTTGTGTTCAGGTCGACTTGAAAAAACTCTTCGCTCTGGTTTTGTATCCAAGAAATCACCTAATGGAGAAAGGAAACCTTATCAAAATTTGAACCTGATGAAGAGCTGACATAAACAACTGACACAAGGGTATCTTGGTTCCTCTGATGAGAAATAGAAAGTATTTTAAACGTTACATTGGACTGTGGGTGAAATTACCTCTCGTGTGTCTTTTTCAAATTGTCCAAATTGTTTGTTTAAAGTTTTATTTCGTTCAAGTTGTTCTCTCCTGGCATCCCAGATTTCGTCCAGATGAAGATTACGTTCTTCAAACTGCCTCAGGAACTTGCGGATTGTTTCCGCCGGATTTTCTCTGTCCAGACTGTCCTCGCTTTGTTCCTGGAGAGAAATAAGTTACAGAATAAGTAGAATATTAAGCTAAATTAAGCTAAGCTAAGCTAACCTAACCTAAGCAAAACTTCTAACCTTAAACGATAAATGATAACTCTGGCTTGAGTGTTTGAGGCCGTTTGCCCTCTTGACTTACTCGTTTTAATTCATCCAGTAAAGTCTGTCCCAACTTTTGTGTTTTTGCTGAGCTGGAAATAATGCTTTCCCTTCTGTGTTGTTGTTGAAGGATTGTGAAAGGCGAAGCATTCACGTTCTCTCTTGGCTCCTCGCTGGTCAATTGCTCTTCGAGGTTGTTCATTTTGCTCACCAGCTGACGTGCTTGACGGCAGAAACCAGCGTACTGCTTGCCTATCTCGATTCTGTACTCAACACGTTTTCCCAAATTCGCTAAAATGTCTGGCAAATCTTCTTCAGATCTCTCGTTTGAGTTCACGTCCAAATTGCTGCCAGAATTTTTTATGTTCCGATACCTCTCCTGCATTTTCTAGAAGAAAAACCAACAAGGTTGTCGCACGGTTGTTAAGGCATTAACAACGAAAACCTGCGTATAGATCATTCACCAAAATCCCACTTTCCCTAGGAAATGATTTCAGTTTGAAACTCTACAAAACACCACCGGTTTCTTCCTCAGGGAAAAGCTTTCTCTAGTACAAACCTCAGTGTCTGTTCTTAAGGATTCATGTTTAGTTACAAACTCATCCACAGCATCACCGTCATCTCCCATGCCAGTGTTCTGCGCTAGGAAATTTTCACCAACATTTTTCGCCCACAGGTGGAGCTGAAAAACACAGTGACTCGTAAAAAACCCAGGATAAACTAAACGATATTATCCTAGAGGGAATCTGACATATTTGAAAAGCTCTCCTGAAAATCCACTTAATTCAGGATTGGAGAGATATTTACATGACAAAGACCTATAACCTTATAGTTTACTTCATAACTAATATTTAACAAGATTCACAAGTTGAAAACGATAAAGACAGATTTGGGAAATATCATCACAACCACGCATGATTGCATAGCAAAGTTACCTCTTTGTACTCTCGATTTGCATCTTCAGCAGACGACGCCACTTGTTCCACGAGATTCGCGTAGCTGCTTTTCAACTCGTCATAGATTTGCGAGGCCGCAGAGGGACCTTTGTTGTCTTGCTCTGAAAGAAGCTGACCCTCTCTGATTTGATACGCTGAAACTTTGGAGATTTCCCCGAGCAGGTCACCATCTTGATCTTCCTTCTTGTTCTTTATCTGATCTTCGATTGCCTTCAGTTTCTCAAGAGTCTTCAAAAAGATAAATAACAAATGCTATTTTATTAATTAATACTATACAATAAAGTCGAGTCTTCCATCGTATCTTCCCGTGAACAGAAACCTCCGCTAAGTTAGCCTAAAGAGCCGTCGTCAGGAGATTACGACTCTTAAAAACGCTGTTATACAATTCAACTTTCCTTGCAACTTTCAATGCAATTCTCCTCCTGAGGAATCTAAAGTTGTCAAATACGAACATTTCTCACGTTCTGCTAACGTTTTCTTAGCATTTCGAACACTCTTTACAAAATACCATCCCTCAAAATTATAATTGCATTGCAAGTTGCAAGGAAAATTGCATAGTGTAACAGCGCCGTTAGCAATCATAACTAACATTCCACTTTTGACTGACCTCTTTTCCTCTTTCGCAGAATGACAAATGTTTCTTAAGATTTTCCTTTCTTTCGTTGACTTTCTTTTTAAACTGTTTAAACTCGAGTTGAAGTGCCATAACTCTGTCGTTCAACTGCTCTCCTTCAGGATGGCCAACGTGAATCAACTTTTGAGAACTCCGCAACAGCTTATGAATCACCTCCTCCTTGCTCTGTCGAAGAAAACGGAATCAATTTGAAAACGAAACAAATGATACAAAGTGGAAATTCGAGGTCATGATATAGCAATGATGTTTTCCTAGTTTTGTCAAGAGGAATTTCAGGTGTTTGACTTATGTTGTTTGTTTTTTCCATTGCTATGATAAACCGATGATTTGCAGAATCGTTGTTGAATAATGAATATTCCCCAGCTTTGATATTGACCGGCGCCCGGAAAGGTTGTCGAAATAAAAAAGTTTTTTTGATCGAGTAATGGATTTCTATTTGACAAACTAATCCCAGTCCTTTCCCGCCATGGGAACCAACACAGATTTCCACCGGCGAATGACATACCTCGACTTGATTTTCAAATTCAAAATGTTGTCTCAAAAGCGTTTCTATCGACTCCACCGTCTCGCCGTTGCTCGCCATGCCCAAGATATTCCTCTCCTTCATTTCTCAACCACAGGAGAAGCTGCAAAAAGGAAAAACAGATTCAACGTACTCAAATCAAGACTCATTACTCGCAATTTAAATCAGCAAATCTTTCGAGATTTCACGGTGAAAGAAAGCCGATAAAAGTTGATGAGAATTGATAAGATTCTATTGAAGTAGAGAGGGTTTAATAAAAATTGATAAAATACTAGTGATTGATGGGAATGAGAGATACGCGACTTTCTAGGAATTGAAATTGACGAGGTTTATTTAGAGTTATAAAAAGAAGCCATGCTGATAGCAACTGATAGAAATCATGACTTGGCATCACAAAAATTTTTTCATCTATTCTTGTTTTACTAGGATATAAAAACTTTTTAAGGTTTGAACAAAGATAACATCGTGCAATGTTATTGTTGATGTGTTTTGTACTGCGTTGAAAGACGAAGGTGTTTCACAGAAGCCGACTCAGTCTGGCTGGCTTGGCTATGTAGGCTAAAAAAAACAGATCTTCCAGACTGTTCTGATAAAAAAAACAGTAAGATACGGTAGAATGAATGGTGCTTATCAATCCAAGACTATTTTACCTTTTCTGTCTCATCTTGTACTCGGCATTTTCGAACGCATTGTTCCAAAGCTTTCCTTCTGGTCTTCCACAATTCATCCAATTTCCTTCTTCTGTGACTCAAAGTTTCCAACGTCCTTTCGATGCTGAAACACGCGGCTTTGGTCGCATGCCTGTTGTTAATATCAGCATGACTGCTGGCCTCTCTTAGGCGGTCGAGTAATAACTGTCCCTTGGATAGGGTTTGCATCGAGAGTTCGAGCAAACTTTTTCGCAGTTCTTGGTGCTCTTGCATAAGAGATTTCGACACGGTGACATCTCCTGCAAGCAATGTTTGTCCAAGTTGTTCTTCCACCAGGCTTATTCTTTCGGAAAACTGTGAAGAGATTTAAAGATTTCGAAGATTTTACTTGGTCCAGTTAAATGGAAGTCACAACAAAGTGTAACTAAAGTCACTACGCTTTAACTTATCCTAATACTACGCTGATAAACCTCCTCTAAGGTACAGAATGAAAACATATAGTGAAGGTTTCTATCACCTCTAAGACCTCGTCTGAAATGAGAGTCGAAACACAGCCATATACAGGTTTCTGATAATGAGAGATTGCTTATTTTTTTATGTATAAAAACAGGTGAAAGATCTAAAAAAGGGCTTAAAATGCAGTGTGAAGAAATAAGAGACGTTCTTTTGTTGTACCCTCGCAAGATTACCCCCTGAAGGGTACCAGAAATGGACATTCTGTCTGGGAAACCGAGGTTTTAAATTCATTAAAATATAGGTGTGTTTAGGGAGAGCCATCTGAAATTGACATGATTCACAAGCTGGGATATGGATAGGCCTTGCTGAAGTTCATACAAAGGTCGCAAAAGTCTACCAAATATGAACGGTACCCAGGTAGGGGGTGTCTCCGAGTGCTTCCACTCTGAAGTAAGAAAATGATACTTCGAGGAACTTTAAAGAGTGTTTTGAATAGTACTGTTATGAATGTAATTTATATTAGGATATCTTTGTGGTGACCTTCAATTAGATTACAAAGCTTTCGCTAAGTCATAAGTTAGAAAATAACCACTTATAGAGTTACCCAGCATAAAGTAAACTCTTGTAGTAAAACATTGTTCAAGGGCCTCAAGGTAGAACTTATACAGTAACGGTTAGCGGAAGCAGAGGGCACAATGTGAAGTTCTCACCTCATCAGCACTGCGATGAAACGCCACTGAGGTATCAAGCAGGATACGTCGTGTTTCCAGTTGACTGTTTAGGTCTTTCCATGACTCATCCAAAGAGTCTGCCATGGCAACATTGGAGTGACTCTCGCCACTGCCGCCAGACAATGAACGGAATACGGCTAAAGCTTCTTCTACCTGTTCACTTCGTTTCTGTAAAACAAAACATAATATTCATGCAAACGATTTGGATCTATTTCAGAGGATTCCTAAGGTCTCACAATTTCTCGTGGTATTTAATAACAGCTCATTGTCCATGCAAACCAACCGAATGCAAAGTCTGTATTTGCAAGCGCTATAAAGGCTAGTTTCCACTCAGGAAAATTCTTTTTTGGATCGGACAGGACAGGAAAGTTTCCTTTGTATAAACGCCGCCTGAGAACTCACCAACAAAGGAAATTTTCCTGTCCGTTCCGATCCAAACGAGAATTTTCCTGAGTGGAAACTAGCCTTAATGCCAAAGGCTGTAAATGCATTTCCTCAAGAGGAATATGCAATTCACCTGTATGGTAAAGATCTACTTTAGCAATACAAAAAGATTAATAAAAATCATGTCAGACTTGCAAGTGAACAAGATTTGCAATCTTTGCGGTATCGATTAGTAAGAGCTCTAAATATGTGCAACGCCCCAAAAGTGAGGAAATCTTTCCTGCAGGAAGACAAGATTAACTACAGCTCTTTTTTACAAGCCGTATTTCAAGTCCATATTCAGCAATATGCCCAGAAGTTGGTTATTAGAAACCAATTATACCTGATGCACGGAACCGCGTTATCCGTTCAAACAAAGCATTAACATATTATTAGAATATAAAGCTTTGTTAATGACATTTACGGCAAACATGTCATAAGCTATAACGAAACCATTTCTTCAAATTTTACAAAGTGTTTGTTTTACTCTTGGCCTTAAAAGGGAGCACGTTGGTCACGCGAATATCAGAGTAAACTTTGGATATTTCAACAAATATACCGACAATATTATTTTTGCCAGAATAGGGCCAAAACTCATCGCCTTTATATTAGGATTTAATTTGTTTTCCCTAGGTTTATAATTATACAATGTTGGCCCCATAACCGGCATACCGATCACAAATATTTGAAATTAATCTGTCCGAGCACATGTCTAAGAATTCGATCGAGTGCAATGGTATGACGAGTTTGAACGACCATACGAGTTTTTGTAAAGGATGAGATGTTTTTCTTATAAATGAATGCGCGGAAATAACGTTTCTGTAGGCGAATCTTCAATGACATGTGCGTATTTAAAACAAACAAGATCTCAGACGAGGATGATTATAATGCTCCCCATTGTGATAGCAAATGACAAACACGCCAGCTTAAAATCTGCTGCAAGGTAAAGCATTTCCATCGGGGCCATCTTGGCCTCTTTAACTTGCGAACGGTAAAGGGTGAGATGAAAGAAAGATTCGTTTATTTCTAAACAGTTTCAGAAGTAATAATCGTTGGTGCTTAACGACACAGATTATGTAAGGGAAATCACAATAATCTGACGATGCTTCGACAGAAATAACGACCTTTTGACCTCGCGCGCTTTATAGAATACGCGTCGACTGTCGGGCAACACTTTAGAACAAGCTATCCTAGTTTCTCTTAGGTCAAGCAACAATAACGCTTCTTCATCTAGCCCTGAGATGAGACGAAACCTTTGCGAGCCACGATACCGATAACTAACATATATCTAACAGTGTTATTATTATTGAAAACAACATCTTACAATTGGCTTAGTCGATCTCCCGCGGCGAAGACAATAAAGCCCACAATAGCAAAATACAAACGAAATTGCTTCCTCCGAGGGAAACGAATGCTCAGAATCTAGTCGTTTTTCCAAACGGCGTCTTGCATTGAAAGAAAGCGATTTAACAATGCAGATTTCTTTTTACAAATAGTTCACTACAATTGTGCTTACCGATCAAAACAAACGCGCGAACGGGCCGTTGTTTACAACAATTTCAAACAGTTATCTGTCGCACAGATTTGTATCAGGTCGGGCTAAGCTGTCTGACCTCGGCTTCACACAGAACGTGTGTATATTGCAAATGTTTTTTTCTTTCGAAAATGACAAGCACAAAATAGGAACTTCAGATATTTGCTGTGTGCTATTGCAGTCCTAATGATGGAGAACTCGTCGTAACGACCTCGTCTGAGTGGGATGTGCAGAGTATAAAATACAAATATATTTTAACATAAATTAGCCTTAGGGATTCGGCGGAAAGATTTATACCAGTTCTGTCAGTTGGATAAGCTATATCACAGTTAACTGTGGCTATATCTACCATCCGTATTTAAACAAATTGGCTGACAACATTAAGATATAATATTTCAAATTTCATCAAGACTAAACGCTTTATTTTGTCGAAGAAAATTCAATTTTTGCATGTCACATGGAGTCAAAACAATTCCAAAATGAGAGAGAAAAGATATTTCTGTCATCTGCGGATATTCTTCAACTGCTTTTGCAAGGCTCAACGGTCCTAGTGGAACTTAAAGCGAGTTTTTGGCTGCGTGTGGCTGAACACGTTTTCATCTGACATTTTGCTGACGAGTGTAGTATACGATTACAGGACGCCAAGGCAATTCACCGCATGAAAACTGTACAACTCCGACGTTCTAGGGTCAATTATACTTCTAGTTGACGGCTGAAGAACTAGCTCGACAGTTGACTGATTTTTAACGGAGGGAGAACGGTTAGAATATCGAACATAGAATGGTTTAATGTACTTAAAAGCACTCTAAAACAACTGACGCGGAAAATCTGCGTGGTTGGAAGGACTTACCAGCAAGATTCGCTAAGATCCAAACATCAGATTCGCTTTGGTTTGTTTCCAAAGGTTCCGTATAGTTGATCGTCTTATCAATATGTTGCCACGACAAGCGAGAAGGCTTAGAGCGAAATTCAATGCGCCTGCGTTTCACGTCAATATAGAAGCCATCGAAAGTGCTTAGCATTCCATCACTGACCGTAATTGACCCGGAACGACGCCCCGTTATAGACAATTATAGCGATTAACAGCAAGCTTGGAAAGCGAAACTGATGCCGTGGAATAGAGGTGCTCGGCTATGCGAGGTGAACAAGATACAGTATCTCGGAACGACGAGAAACAAGAAGATTGGCAACACGTGTTCGTGATTGCACACAGTTTGAGGCTAAATGCAACACGGTAAGTCCTTACAGGCAACCATCAACACATTCCAGACACAAATTACGTCAACACTTCGAAATCATCCCCTAATAGTAATTACGTTCCTGAACTACGATACTCGCGGGAGAAATTTCTCATCTCTGGTCGTGAACAACACATTAAGAACACCGAGGCGAGATAAAGAACGGCATAGAACTCGGTTCGAAACAGTACAACTATGCTTTCATTAAGAGCAGTGAACCTTCCGATCAACTCAGCGATTCATTAATGGTATAAGGAAGTAGCGATTTATAAGTCTCTAAATTCCGCGAATCGTTGTTTTCAAGAAATTGGATGAGCAGAAACAGTTCCACTACATGGATGTGTTTATTTCCTACTTTTAACAAGCACAGACCCATAATGGATACAATTTTCGCATCGGTTATGTAAGACAAACAGAGTTCGGGAATCCTCGTAGATAATATGATCATGTTTTTGTGGATAGAATTCCCGCCAGAGGGTCTGCAGCATCTGAATACTTTGCAATTGTCGGCTCTAGCATAAGCTCTAAAAAAACCCTCATAAACCTTCAATGGAGCATTCCATTGCTATACATAACATCCATGTTATCCTATCAAGTATGCCCAAGTCCACATACTCTCCCTTATGAAGTTATATTAATGGTTATTGATTTAACAAATTTTCAACATAGCTAGACACGTGCGCAATTGTAAAGTCATTGCGCCAAGCGTTGGAGAGGTTAACTAACGTCTGTCTGTCAACACGTCGAGGGTGATGTATTGGTTCTACTTTGCCCGGAACCTAGGAAGAGCCAATCTAGGGGTTTTACGAGAGCTCGAAATTTAATGGATCAATTGAGAGCCGAATATTCGCTTGGAATTGGGCCTGTGAGCAGCGATTTGTTACTTAGGATTTAGCTCAAAAACATTCCGTCCATCCTCTGAACAAAACTTGTCGATAATCATGCATACACTTAGCTATCGTACTTACCATCACAGCTCTTTCTACCATAGAACATTGGTACGAGAGTGTCTGGGCTTCGTCCAAGTTATCGCCAATATTAAACAAACTTAATCCAACTTCACAATTGATGTCTTTCACCCACTGGACGATCTACATGGTAAAATGGAGTGAATGCATTTCATTGTCATATTCAATAAATTTATACTAGGAAGCTCTATAATATAAAAAATAAGTAAATTTTCCACGAACCTCAGATGTGCTATGTTCAGCTTGTGCTTCACCGTCGGCCAACTTTTCCAACTTGTTCATCCTTTCATTCCACATTTCTTCCCATTCCACTTTTCTCTCCTTGACTTCAGCCAGACACTCGGCTACTGGCGCACAAGTGGAAGCAGCATCCGAGCCAGCAGTCGCAGCATCCGAGCCAGTAGTCGCGGCATCCAAGCCAGCAGTCGGAGGTGCGGCGAGCCACTTCAAGTAGTTCTCGCCAAACGTGACCGTATCTTGGCAATCTTTGATGACACGTTCCTTGATATCCGAGTGTATTATCATTTCCGTTTTGAGTTGCTCTATCGAAAGATGAGAGAGAGTGCCTTCCTGGACATACGCCATCGCCAATTCGTCAACATCACGTAAGAACTAAGATGATAAACACGAGCAAACATAAATATGTATTATAGCTCAACTGTTTAACTATCCAATCAAAAAGCTCGATTTGTATCAAATGATCAAGCAATCATTTATGCACGGTGTTATCACGGTGGAAAAACAGTATAATCTGATTTGACTACTAGATTTCTTGTTTATTGCCATTACAAACCGTGAATCATACCTTTTCGGAGTTTTTATAGAACTCTACAGCCGCTTCCAGTCTCTTGCCCCGTTCAATGATCATGTCTGCAACTCGTTCCCAGACCTTCGCCAACATCTCTTCTCGTTCGTGAACCGGAGTGAGTGAAAAACGACAGGAACGTCGAAGGACCAACGCCGCCTGAACGACCTGTTCTCCGTAGTCGAATGTCCCCTGATGAGAAAAGATTATGGAAGTCTTCATATAACTGTTCTTACTATTACTATTACTGGAGGTTAAGTAAGGATCATCTCTTATTGATTCAGTGTTACTACAGGAGGAAACCTAAACTAAATTTCTTTGTTTCAACGGTATCGCTCTACGGCTATAGCAATTTCCAAATGTACTATTCTCTCACAAACTGTACCAACTTGTATATCTCCCGACTTCATCCCCAAAATTCAATGTTTTTCAAACCTTTGCAGTGCTTTGAAACTTCTCGTGGTCGTTCTTCATCCGCCCAGCTTCTTCAAATGTCCGTCCAACGTTCTTATGTGAGGATACCATAACATTACCTAGTTCCTCCAGCCAAGCGATCGCCTTGAACATGCAAGAAACAATTTAGTCTACTTTCTTTTACGTTTAGATGAAAAATAATACATTTTCGACCCAAATCAGACGGTGCGAAGTTCCTCAAGGTTTTTAACCAAGAGCTCAGGGAAGAAGAGATTGAAGAAAATGCTTCGTGTAATCTTGCCTTTATAGAAAAAAAACACTGATGCAAAAGACCAGTGGATTTTCAGACCATGCGATTCTCACCTGATCCGTATCTCGTTCACAGGATCGTAACTGTAGAATCTGTTGTAGTTTTAACTTCCTTACATCGCACAGTTCATCGTTCCGTTTCTTTCTTTCGACCAGATCATCGATAGTATTCCTGATATGGCCGGCCAAGGGACCGCATTCGTAGTCCACTTCCTGGCCGTATATATCGGTCAGTGGAGTCTTGAGGGCCTCCAAGATTGCGTAACCCTCTCGAAGCATCGCTTCGGTCGCTTCAGCTATGCCTGGACGTTTGGGAAAAAGTCGTGAGATTAGTGGAGAAAAGCTTTCGATTTTCCCATAAATTTGATTGGATTTACGTCAAAATGGCAAAGGATGGTTCTTTAATAAAGCGCTCGAAAACTACACCCTTGTGAGAATAGCTTAAGAGAGTTTGAACCCACAAACCTTTTGTGTGCTTGTCAATGTTTTCTAGCATATCTAAAGTGTCCTCTTCCTCTAACTTATCATCCACATCTGTGCATAGGACGCTGAGTAAATCATCCAAATGACCAGACGCCTGGGAAACAAAATGATGAAGGATTTAGTTGAAGAATCAATGACTTTCTGAATCGTCTGTCAATCATGGTTAGATGCTACTGCTAGGCTTTCAAATTCATGGTTAAATTTCGTTCAAAAGAGGAAAAAACATTGTTCATAGTAATGAATGTGCACTGTGTGATGTGAATTGTACGAATCTGTACAGAAATCCTGAATAAACCGTGGTTAAATTTAGACAGGACTCAAGTTTACAGTTCAGTCTTAAAGTGAAAAGAAGCAACGATTTATGGTATTCTTTGGGTACATACCGCTTGGGTGCAGTGATGAAAATTGATGGAGGACATCAGGAGGAACTGACGTCTTTCCATTCTAAATGCAAAGTTCCTGCAATATTTGTCCATGGTCGTTTTCTGTTCCTGGATTTCGGCTGATTTCGGATGCTGGGACTGGAGAAGATCCTTGGCTTTGGCACGTGCGGCCGCGAATGAACTGATGACGTCCTGAAATGGCAGACGACAATCTATTTGAGCCCATATAGAACGTGGGGAAATATATCCCTACAATGATCTACCTGGGTCAGGCTCAGGATCAGGCTAAGGCTCAGTACCACAGATGAGATCTGTGTCAGTACGTAAGCTGGACTGTGCGTTCAGAATCTTGCTTAGCCGAAGCATTAAGGCCCATACAATGTCAATGATCTTGCTTAGCCGAAGCAAGGCGCATACAACGATAGGTTTACCTTTGTTTGCGTTTCAAATTCTTCGTGTTTTTTCATCAATGCTTCAGCACTTGTCCGAGAATTTCCAAGCTGAGTATTTTTAAGGAGATATTCGTCCCCGGGACCACATAACCAATCAATTACCTAATAAAAGAGATCTATTCAATACCATCTCATGATACCACAACAACAAGACGATAACCTTCAAAGATAGAACTGGAAGCTTACTTCAAAAACAATAATGGGTACTGTGCAAGCTCGAGAGTTTCTGGCAAAGGCCACTCGAAATCTTAGATTTGGAGCAAAGACTTAGGAGCTTAACTAATTAATAAATAAAGCTGCACGCGACAGATATTTGAGAAAAAAGAGGGCATCAATCTGTACCACAATGATAAAAAGTTCTAGGTGAATGAAATTCAGGGTGAATATTTATCCTCACCAGTTTTGAATCGTGTTTGAAGCTTGCAATACTCTCATCAACGAGTCTGTTTTTATTCCTTGTTTCCAACAGTTCAACAACTTGAAGATACTGTTCCTGCAACGCGTTCATCCTTTCTTCAAGAAGACAAACATCTTGAAGATCTTCAGGACTATCTTTTCTTATCTCCTCCAGCATTCGGTCGCCTTCCTCCAATATCTCAGCAATGCCGTTCATTCTAGTTTCAATTTCTGACTGTTGTTTCTCATACTCTTCCGGGCTCAAAGACGTGTCCTTGTCTGATTCCATCTGCTGTAGCAGTTCATTCAATGTTTCCCCAGTGTTTGGAAGAGCTTCAAGCAACTTATCAATCTCCTGAACAAAGATTAAAAAACAATCTGTTGCGTTAGAAAACAAGAGAAAAAATATATAAGTAATAGAAGACTTACAATTCTCCTATCAATCCATGGCTGAGGGTTGAATTCGTACGTTCCTCCAAAGGTTTCAGGAAGCTGGCTTCTGTCCACAAATTGTTCAAGTTTCACCTGTGACGACAGCAGAATTGTCTACAAGTGATGAGAAAGCACAATTAACAGTTAGAACGAGTTACAAGCAACAGGTGAAGCAAGCTAGTTAGCCACCGTTAGCTATTACTAAGAGACACACACTGCATGGCCAGAAAGCTATGCTGCGATAAAAGAGTTAGCTTATAGGGGCATATTATATTCAAACCCACACATGAAGACTTGCAATGTGTGTGTGTGGAAAGGGGGGGGGGCATAGGCGTACGGGTGCAACTTCGTTTGGGGGGGCAAAAAAAATTGTCCGAATTTTTGAATTATACAATGTGCCCGAATTATAACTTTTACCAGATTTGTAACAACAGATTTGGCGAAGCAGCGTTGTGCTTTTAAGAAAGTGTAACAAAAATAGCGAAATAGAATACAAATATGTTATATATATTACAAAATTTGGTTTTAAAAGTTTTAGCTATGTAAGTTAGCTTTCAGTTTGCCCGAAGTATCGGCTGAACTTTGCCCGAATTTCTTGATTCTCGAAATTTTTGGGGGGGCAACTGCCCCCCCTGCCCCCCTGTCTCGTACGCCTATGGGGGGGGGGGAGGAGGGTTTATGATCAGATTATAGACACTCTGCTATGAGGCTATATACCATTGAAAATGACTTGCTTCATAGAGGTGATATACTTTAATACTTACATCAAAAGGGTAAGCTGTGAGATCATGCTTGCTGAACCGACCACTCTTCCTTCTTTCCCAGAATGCATCAGGCCTCAGAATTAAAACGGCAGCTACATGATATGACAATGTTTCCTGCAAAAGCCAAGAGATACGAGGGAATGTTAGAGAAATGTACAATTTAAGTGATATGTTAAGATATATGCACATTGATTATACAATGAAAAAGTGTACCTATGATGGAAACAATTATGTCAGCCTTATATGCATAGATATAGTTACTAATTGAGATAGTATAAGAGAAATGTGATTGGGGTAAATACTTCAAGTCATTCATACTTTGATGACTTGTAAGATAGACTTGAAATTAGTCCACTTTTCACTTCTTGCATCCACAACAATGGTGAAGCCTTTCTTCTGAACATCTTCACTATATTGAAAGAAATATATAAATTTTAGTAAAACTACAGAATGGTTGAAACCAGTGTCTTGATCATAGCTTAACTGACCATTTACCTGCTAAGTCCTCTGGTGTGAGGGCAAATTACTCATACAAAAGAAGCTGTCCTGTTGTAGGATTCTGTGACTTTCTAATTAGTAAACTAAAGTTTGGACCTGTCTAACCCTGCATGTATATTGGATAAAATTTAGAACTTTAGAATATCTTATTTTATCCAGCAATAATTTATGACTCAATTATAATTGGTGGTAATGCAAAAACCCAAGATAAATTATCTTGGATAATGTAGGTTTATAAATTCATGTTAAACCTTTGGTTAAACCAATGCTCAATTACCAGTTAAATGGTACCAATCTTGACGACTGACCTTCAGTCAACAGATACAATTTACTGGCATATAAATCCTCACTTTATCTTACAAATATGTAGCTAATAATCTAATCATTAATAACAATTAAAGTGCAATTATATGAAGTCTAGCTATTGTTTTAAATATCCTTCTATTAAGCTAAAGAAAATTCGGTAATTTTACCAGACAAAATAAATCCAGAAAAACCACTCAAAATTACAAACAAATTAAAAATGAAATTATACACAATATTATACCATATACACACTATACAAAGGACTGCATTTATCGCCAGAAACTAGCAGTTTTGCCAGTTCATGTCTACATTACTAAAGCAAATGAACACTCTTGTTGCGACGAAAAATTTGTCGTATGGAACTAACAAAAGTATTTTTAATAGTTTAATACTGTACCTAAAAAGTTGAGTTATGAAACTCAAAGCGGCTGACAGGTCTTTTGACTCTCCCTTGTAGTGCGGAATCAATATAATTTGTCGTCCATTTTTGTCAACAGAACCTACAATTAAATAAAGGAAGCAATACCAATATCAACCATATGTCATTAGGTTTTTTATTCAACGCTTTCAAACTGTCAAAGGGAATTCAAACGCTTTCAACTCACCTAAGAGACAAGCATGACTCGCTCGAAGCAAATTTCTAGTCTCCTGTTCACCTCTCCTCGTGGCTGAAAGTTCACAATTCAAGTTAGTTTGCCGCTCTTAGATTTGTTGTTAAGATGTAAACAAAACACTTCCAATCACCTACGGCTGTTTCATGCATAATAAACACTTGTAGAGTAAAACACAAGTGGTTTATAGATTGATAAACAAATACCTGTTCCGTTCTCGTGAATTTTGAGGGCATCTTCCTGCTCAGCCATTTGCTAAAATACCAACTTTATCACGCAAACACTATTTCACGAAATTCTGACAGCGCCGGTGTAACAAATTCGCTTCGCAAACGTGCCTTGAAATTCCCATGGCTTCAAACCAGCTTAAATTACAAGCAAAAGACGTGCATAATTTTCTATCAAAAGTAGTTATAATTGCGGTTTAAGCGTTTCGACAAGCAACAGACATTAGGTTTACGTATATTTCCCACAAATTAATAGTGACGCTTGCTGTCTTACTATAGAAACCCCCGCGTTGACTTATCACAAAGAATGGGTTATTTAAAAAGTGGTAATTTACATACCATAACACAAAACAGATTAAATTTAGAATACTCTGCAAATTTACCTAATACACACTTAGTTGTAAGACCACAGCTTAAATCCTTTCACTGTGGTTCTTTCTACTCAAAGAGATGTAAAAGTGTTGGTATGGGGAATAGGTTAAGAGGTTCAGCTAAAAAAAACTACAAATACAAGAACAGATTGTTTTCATTTACGTCTAATTTAAATACCGAATGCCGGACGATTGTAAAGCACGTGTAATTAATGATTGTTGCAAATGGTTTTCTGGGCTTACCGGTGTGTACCGAAGGATTTGTACTTGAACAGAGGAGATAAAATACTTATATATATTACCAATTTGAATTAACTACAAGGATTAACTTGCTATAGATTGCCAGAAATGGGTAGAATTTACGGAAATGAACGAAATAAACAAAATAGGATACACTTTTTGTTGGATCCATAGTTGTTGTTGGTTCTTTTTTGTTAACCAAACTGATGCAGTTTGACTTCTTTTTTTTTAAGATTTTTCTTGATCAACTTGTCTCAACAATTCGCCTAGGAATAGAATTGTTGTTAAGGCAGAAATAGGAGTGTCTTAAGGTCGACTAAAGTTGTGCCTCAGTTCCTAGTCGCTTTTTTACTGTTTATTGCAACTGCATGGTTGTTCTTGATTGGTTCATGGTTACTTCTGTTTGGGACTTGTTTTTGGCTGTTCGTATAGTACCAGGTGGTAACTGTTCGCTGTTGGTGGTATTCATCCACTGTCAATGTTGGCTGTGCTTAGTACTGGTTATTAACAGTTTCTGCTGGTTACTGGTTCTGTCACGTTGGGTCTAATTGTCACCACATCAAAAGAGTCAAAATTACTCACAAACAACATCAAGTATATCATAACTCGTATGAGATTTGGTGTATGAAAGTACGTCACGTAATAATATATTTACACTGAAGTACACGTCTACAAATTCTCCGTTAATGTTAGCGTCAAATGCAAGAAATGATGGTTCCCAATACTGCTAAGAATCGGATAATTACTTCATTCTGACGTTCTAAAAATTATGTGCCCACAAAGACCGCAGACAATGGAGATTTTCCGGGGTCTGTCGCCATGATCCCAGTCACCCGAGATTTAAAAAGCGTAAATGATTTTGAAGTATTAGAATTAGTGCTTATGAGACCAAAAAGGCAATATCTATTGTCATAATGACTACTACACTGGCAGAATGATGCATTTTATTTATTTCAATACATCAAAATATTTCACGTTCCTTGTTTTATCTCGGGCAACCTGGATCATGTTCGCAGTTAACGATCGTGAGTAAAATTACCTTTTTCTTTTACAAGTCGATCTCTCGGGATTATTATATTAAAATTTAAATACAAAAGTTGAAAATATGTTTCTAGAAAAACCTCGTGAAGCCGTAGGAAAGATAAAAGTTTCCCAGAATATTAAAACAAACCGGGTAAAATCAATGAAAACTATAGATGAATTCAATATTGTGGTAATGCAATTTCAGTTTATAACTTCAGTTGTTTGCCTGGACGGCCTATAAAGAAAAGGAGAAATCATTTATTACAAATGAAATATACTTTTACGATCCTTCACTAGCCGGGAATGTAGAGTCTTCGTGGATCTGAACTAAGAATGATCGAAATTTATACCATCACGTTTTAATTAACATTCAGGAATATTCTTGACAGTTCAGAAAGTAACGTTGTGTTGTTTCTGTGTCACTGAATGAAAAATCTGAACTATATCCATACCAAACACATTCATATTGGACATTCCTATATCATTTCTAAACTGCTCTACCTGGAGATCCGGCAAAGGCCTCTGCCTCTTGCGCTGTATGACTATACGAGAAGGAAACATTGGTTATCATTTTTCAACTGTCTAAATAAATGGCAATAAACGGTCTTTCCTTAGCTAAAGACCTGGCGAAGACCTTCCTGTCTGTTAAAACGATCCTCTAAGACTGATATCAAGCTTTTCTTACAGAGTAACTCAAGCATACCTCTACTTCAGGTGATTTTATAGGAATCGCTGCAGTTCTTTTTCTTGCTGAACTCGTTTTAGCAGGTTCCACTAAAACCTGTTGTACCGGTTGCATGGGCTGTATAGGTTGACCTGGGCTGCCTTGTCGTGGAGGTGCCGGCATGTTTTGCTGGTAATATCCCCCCGGTGGCGCCACTTCAGACGGAAAGACCTTTAAATAAACATATTAATTAAATATATACACGTGATTCTAATAACAGTTCATTGATTTTGGGAAAGCACAAGTGGAATGTTTTACTTGCTGGAACTTCAACACTCGTTCTAATAGGGAATATTGTTTATGATTCGTTAAAAAAGGTTTCATCAAAGATACCTGTTGTGGCATGAAAGGCGGTAAATTCGGAATCATTGGAAATCTAAATGATAACAGAGTACAGTCACGTTAGAACTAATAGAGCTAAGTAGTATAAATAAAAACATAGTTCATTCAGTTTAGGTTTCCTCCTGTAGTAACACTGGATCAATAAGAGATGATCCTTACTGGACCTCTAGGAAAAACAGTTTAGAACTGGTAGAGCTATCCAGTATAAATAAAGTTAGTTTAGTTTAGGTTTCCCCCTGTATTAACACTGGATCAATAAGAGATGATCCTTACTGGACGTCTAGGAAGAACAATTTAGAACTGATAGAGCTATTATGCAGGTTTCCTCCTGTAGTAACACTGGATCAATAAGAGATGATCCTTACTGTCCAGAAGAAATGAACGTATGCAGTCTTCATGATAGTGCTGTGAGGAGGTTTACACTTACTGTTGAGAGGTATAAACCATGCCTGTATTGGGATCAGTGAAGTTCTGTGCATGGTCATATTGTCCGGCCTGCATGGGTATACTATGTACAAATTCTCCGGTAGGGGCGTTTGACGGAGGTGCCATAGCATAGTGGCCGTTTTGAAGCAAAATGGGTCGTAACATCGCTGGATTGATTTCTGCAAATGGAAAATAATTGTATATGAATGAAATGATTGTTTACAGTTACAGCTGTTTACACTACATACTCTTCTTTGAAAGGCTTCAATGGCAATTTCTTTTAGAAATGTTGATTGTTCGCTAAAGGCATTCTGGCTGTCTAATTTTGTTGAGAAGGTACAGTGTAGCACGGAACAAAACTACAGGCGAGGAAGATAAAAAAGAAGACAAACATACCTTGCGTTTGAAGGGTTGGTTGCTGTGCGTAATACATCGGAGGATAGCCTTGAGATATTTAGAAAAAGTTTAGAGTCAGTTTTTCCGTTCAAGTTACAGCTGGCTCACTGTGGTTTATTGAAATACCCCTGAATGACATATAGTGTAAAATAGACACGTTTCGACCCTAAGGATCTTCATCAGGAGAGTTGGATGAACTAACTAACTTTTATATTAACTCTCCTGGCGAAAACCCCCGTTGAACAGTCGAGAAGTGTTTTTTTGTCCATTTAGACAGTGTTGTGGTACCACATTTGAATGTTGATGCGAAGTTGTTTGAAGACGCAACCACGCTGCTGCATGGGTTATATTAAAACACTGCACTAGTCTCACCTTGTGGTGTAACATAGATTATCTGCTGTTCTCTGGGTGATGACTCAACGACAGGTTGTAATGGTGTCTCGACGGCCGTTGTCATCACGGGCTTTTGACGTTGAGCAGAGTAACGCTTACGACCGCTGGAAACAGCCGCAGGCTCAGATACCTCTTCTAAACGAGAAATCGCAATCGCAATGTGTTAACTGAGGGCTGTTCGCCATGATTTCATCGACCGGGTGTCTAAATACTTACGTTCTTTACTCTCCAACACTTCGCCAGCATTTCCCTCATCATCGCTCTGGGCATCTGCAAAGGAAAAAAAAGTCTTAACACTTTACCCGCCATTTTGAACGCAGGGTGATGTTAGGTAGACAATATACCCGCGCACAGGTAACCGATTATATAAACTCTATGCTCATGAAGTATAGCAGAGAAAACCTTACTAGAAAATCTTCCCGATTCCACATCGGGCGCTTCCTCGTCCGCCAGCTCTACGCTTTTCCGCCTCTCCAATTCCGCTTCCCGCGCGAAGTCAGCCGCAGTTTTCTTGGCCTTGGTCAGCGGCTTTCCCCGTCCTTTGGCTTTGTTTCTCATCTCGCTCCACTTTCTCGTACTTCTTCCCTCCGAGGCGTCGTCCGCGTCCCTACGATAAACAAATACGAGTTCTCACAAAACATGTTTCGTAGCGAGAGACCTCAGGCCGGTTGCATAAAAATTAACCAGCAAACCAAATGACTTTTAGAATTACCGAACAACTGCCGTATATCAGGGTTAAAATATGCGAAAGCTAGGAATGCAAAAGACGTAACCGCTTCTTACCTTTCAGGCTTTTGATCATCGCCAGCTCTTTTTTCTTCAGTCTTTTTCCTTTCTTCGTTTTCATTATCGTTTTTCTCATCAGCAACGTTTCTCTCTCTCTTTTTACCATCTCTCTCTTCCCTGCTGTCTCTTCCTCGTCTGTCGCCCTCATCTTCACGAGAACGAGGCTGAAAGGATAAAAATCAACACTTCAGTCTCATCTCCGCTATCAGGCAGTGCAGTAATGGTGAAGTACCGGGGCAGGTTGTACGAAGGTTGGAATGATGGAAATATTGGCAGAATAATGATTTTTTCTATTTATGAAAACCATGGAACTGATGCTCAACAAACCTTTCTGTTTCTGCGATCTTCCTGCTCGCCTTCTTGTCGTCGTTCCTTCGGGGACCTTTCGTTTCTTGCCGGTCTGTTTTCGGGATCACGTCTTTGTGATCGTTCCTCGTTGTCGCGAAGTCTTCGATCCCTCGTTTGTTTTTCATTTCTTTCATTCTGATCTTCATTCCTTACTTCTTCATTCGTTTCCTCTTCCCAGTTCTCCTCAGTTTCTTCCTGCCTTTTGTTACCTGGTCTACCAAAGCCTGTCTCTTTTTTTGCTGTCGCTTTTTCGTTGTTGTTCGCCCCCTGTCTCTCATTCCGTCTCTCATTACCACCCCTTTCTTCCCGGTTCCCAAAACCTTGTCCTCTTGTATCCCTGTCCCGTCCCTTTGAGTCACGGTTGAACCCTTCACCATCTCCTTGTCTACCTCTGTCACGTCTCCTATTGTCCCGATCGAATCCTCTGTTATCCCTTTGATCCCTCCTATCGTCTCGTTGCCGGTCCCTTGTGTCATGTTCCCTGGTGTCACGGTTGATCCTGCCTTCACCCTGTTGAGAGATAAATATCATGTGAAATAGCCGTTTTTTGGTCGCCAAATTCATTTGTTAGTCATTGTAATTTACCTTGTTGCCATCTTCACGCTGTCTATCCCTGTTCTGTCCTCTATTGTCCCTATCGAATCCTCTGTCTCTGTTCTGTCCCTTTTTGTTCCTATCGAATCCTCTGTCTCCTCGAGTCTCCCTGTCTTTGTCTCCACCACGATTGCGCGATCCCTCGACGTCCTCACGCCTATCATCATAGCGTCCCCTTCTATCCCTATCGCTACCCTCATTACGCCTTCGATCCCGCTGTGAGCCCTCTCCTCCATCATCCCGTCTTCGGTCACCCTCGTTTCTTCTTTCACCGGACTCCTCATTCCAGTCTTCCTTGTTCTCTCTTTCAAACTCGCGACGTCTCTGAGCGCCATCTTTAAAACTATCGTAGTCTCTTCGCCCGGTATTTCTTCTGCGGTCGTTACCCTCTCCTCCGTCTTCATTCCGCTGTCCCTCATTCCGCCTTCTACAGAAAGAAAATGGGGTGAAATAGCTACAGTGAAGCCATACGCAGATGAGAATTAATGCGCACAGGGTATCTAGAATTTAAAGAGAACTATTGAAGTCGCCACAAAAATCCGCATCTTTTATACCTAACAATTCCTGGCTTAATACAAAAATGAACTCAAAATGGTGCGAAAAATAGCCTAACCTATTTATACACTGGAGTATATGCAATTTTGTGCATGGTAGAAAAATTTCAAGTCAATGTCATTTACAGAGGAGTTGAAAACCAAAACTTTAGACATTGTATCAAATACGGTTCTCAAAGATTCACGAGTACACTCACTCACCTCCCGAAGCGTCCTTTGTTGTCTGTTTTTACAAAATCGCTCAGTTTCTGACCTCGTCGACCTCTTCCTCTGTTCTTTAAATTGTCAATGAACCGAGCAGAATCCTGAGAAAACATTTGATTGGCATTAAAAAATAGAGGAACGCATTAAAAAATAGAGGAACAAAATTTGAAAGACAAAATCATGAAACGGTCGGGGGAGGGGCTCTCTTGTCCCCCCCCCTAGGATCAATCACTATGCATTTCAACTCAACACAACTTTTCCACAATGTACCTCAAGCTCTTCCTTTGTCTTTGGTTTCTGGTCATCTTCAACATAGAGGTCATGGGCCCATTTTACTTCTGTTTTGTCCCAGAGTTTTCTATTTCTAGCATTGGTCCTGTGTTATACAATATAATTTAATATCACAGCTGATCACAGGAGCGTAAGGGAGAACACATTCAGACTGAAAGAAATTCTGTACCTTGCTTCATCATAATCTTCGCTAAAGCGTGTATCATGAGACCAGAAACCCATTTTGGTCACATTTCTCTCCTCTGGTTCTTTCTGTGGTATATTAAATATGTATGTTGTTTACAAGAAGTTTACAAGTCTGTTTCCATGAAGACAAACTAACCTTTTCTTCTTCATCTTCTTTCCAACCATCCTCCTCATTTTCTTTCTTCTTTATAGCCTTCCCTTCTTCATCAACATCCTCTTCATCCTCAACAACCACGTCTTCATCATCATCCACAATTTCACCCTCCTCCAACTCACCTACCTGGCCCTTCCCTTCACCACCATCATCATCCAATATCTCACCCTCCTCTCTATCATCATCCTGTGCCTCTTTTTTAACTTCACCCACCTCTTCACCTCCAACATTATCTTCACCCAAGTCTTTGTGTTCATCACCATCTTCACCCACTTCATCTTCACCCACCTCATCTTTATGCACCTTATCTTCACCCACCTTATTGTCACCCTCCTCATCCTCATGTTCACCCTCCTCATCCTCATCTCCACCCTCCTCATCCTCCTCTTCATCATCATCGCTTTCTTCATCATCATTGCTGTCTTCATCTTCACTTGTCTCCCCATCCCCACTTACCTCATCTTCACCATCATCCACCTCCTGTTGCCCTCCTTGTTCTTCACCAATATTCTCATCCCCTTCCTTATCCTCAACACCCTCTCCACCATTTTCATGACTATCTTTTGCATCCTCAAACTCTTCGTCATCATCTTCCACTTCATTTGGCTTAATTTTCTCTGTCTCCTTTTTCTCATCATTCACTTCCAAATCTTTCTCCGTATTCTTTTTTTCACTGTTCTTATCTCCATTATCTCCCTATTAATATAATCAGTGCAATGGGATTCATTCAGTTTCCTTGCATCAATATCACTAACAACTATTCTGGGGTTTGCAAGACTGGAAAAGTAAAATTCAAGGAACTTTCACAATTGAACATGTTGTTTTGCACACAATATCAGGACACATTATTGATTAACAAATTTTTAAAGTAATCCACAAAAATAATAAAATTAAATTCACAAACAAATTAGTGAACAATCATTCTAAATTGCTAATTGGCTACAGCAATACAATGAAGCTTCTTAATAAAACATTTGATTTGACCTCAAATATTCATTCCCTTTCTATTGGAATTTGTAAAATATTCAGGATTGGAAAAATATTTTCAAAAAGTGGATAAGGACAAATTGCTTCATGAAAATTAAGAGTTAAAATATGGCATTTCAGAGGTCCTTAATGCTTTTCAAAGTAGAGTTCAGGGCAATGCAATTTTTTTTTTACTTTATACTGGCTATATGGTAATATATTTTATCGGTAATGTTATTTTACTATAAAGCTAATGCTCTTCTGATTGAGTTCTGGTTTTTAGCTGTGAAATGCAGGGAAAGGAATCTCTATATCTAATATTCGATTTTGAAAGGTAAAGAAAGTCTTGTAGCCACTTAGAAATTGTAAGAAGTATCCATTGTATTCCATATTTGGGCTCAAATATATTGCTTACAGCCTTACACCAAAACTCACTTGATAATAACTGAATACATTAAGGCCCCTAGAAGTTCTTACTTTGCCACTGCGAATGAGTTAAAGCAATTCAACAATATAATACAATCTTTTACAGGTCGGAGATATTTATTGCTGGCTCGAACCATGTGATCACATTGACAAATAAGCAACATTCCTTACCGTTTCTCGTTGTATTTCCGCTTCTGCCTCGCTTTTTTTTTCTTCCTGTGAATTCATGACAAAAGAAGGTCTTTCCTTTTATCAAATTCACGCTAACTTTTCAGTTTTGGGGCCGAATTTTACTATTTTACTGTGGTCTTTTTACCAGTTTTGTTGACTTGCAATTTTAAGACGCCAACGGTAAACTACGCTTATATGAAGTAGCACCAACATACCAATACCGCTGACATCACGTACTCACATGCGACCAGGAGGGGAACAGTCTCTTTCGAAAGAGGGGGAGTTTACTTGCAAATTATTATTATCAAGAAAATCAAGTCAAATGAGGCTCAAATTTTTGCGAGATGAACATTTTAAAAGTAGACACAAACCTTGAAAACGATATTTTACCCTGATGACACCATTATGGTTCATTTCATGACGATTAAAATAGATCGATTGATAGAGATTAGCCGACAGAAACTAGAAATACACACATTTTGATTGCTCTTTTACAGAGAAAAATATCTTCTTATTCAGAATTTGTAATGTTGACACTTTTTAAAACAGAGCATCCACAACTGAAGGAAATTTTCTCCAACATTGCCACTAATATAGAGACAGGAGTCAATACTAACGTCTGAAATAACTTGTGGAAGCGCTGTTTTAAAAACAAGTAAATTAATTGCCTGCCTTACAGCACCAGACTGACCAATTAAAAACCCCTGCGACTGTCTAAAACAATCAGTGAAAGTTACTTCTATTTTAAAAAGATACCCATGCGTGTTCTCAACGCACACGCAGTTCTCCATAGACGACCCAACCTTGAATATTGTCCAACTTCTTCTTTATGTTACGAGTCGTGATGTCTCTGCATGTTGTTTCCAAGTTGAAGCATGTTTACGATGAGGAGTTTATCTCTTTACATCGATGTGTAAAACAGCGATGATTTTGATCAAACTGCAACGCCATGGCCCGGTCTCTTCCCCTAGAAAATAGACAACCTGTAGTAGATCACGAAAAATATGGACTTGGTTTTCTAGAAACTGACAAGCAGCCCAGATACTATTGTCATAGTAATGTAATCATGCAAATCAAAAGAAAATTATAAAAATAAACCTTTCCCCAAGTACTTACCGTTTCGTTCGCAAGATCAAAAACTCATGATTCGTCAATTCCTCGGCGCCTGCAGCGTTGGTATCATTGTAAACATCAAAACACATCTAAAACAGTCCCATCATTAAAGAAACCATGAGAAATATTTGCTCAGCAATCAATCGATGTAAATTTTAAGCCGATTCTCCAAACCTGAAGCCTTCTCAATTGATTCGAAAGTATATTATCTTTACAATCTCCCGCAAAGAGCTCTTCGTAGAAAACGTTCACCTCCGTTTCTAACGCCTATAAATAAACGATTCGACGGTTCTTAAACGCGATAGCCCTGTGCATACCACAAAGTTCATATTATGAAAGATTGCAAACAAACCCTGATGTAGTCATTTTTGATGTAGGAACCGTTGTTTGAAACTGCCAACGTGAACAATGGTGGCCGCACGGGATAATCACAAGGGACGATGACAGCAGCCTTCAGCTTCACTGGAAGAAAACAATCAAAGTAGTCCACAAGCAAGAGTGGAATTTTGACACGGAGCAAGGCAGCAAGTAGAATGAAATCCAACACTACAGCTGGGAATATATTACCTTTGTCTTTTAAAAATGTTGCTAGAAACAGCAGATCATTCTCGGAGATGGATTCAAGTTGTGTGATATGGTCGACAAACGGTAACTCCTGTAAAATAGTGTGAAATGAATCCAGTTTAGTTCAGTCTAATCAAGTTGAGTTCAGCTTATTTTAGCCCAGTTTAGTTCAGTATAGTCCACTTCAATCCAGTCCAATCCAATCCAGTCTATTTAACCCAGTTCATTTCAGTTTACTGTAGTTCAGCTCATTTCAATCCAGTTCAGTTCGCTTTAGTCGAATTAAAACTCACTTTGGTCGACTGAGATGCTCAAACTTCAAACAAAAGACTGCAGCCAAAACAAAGTACAATACTTACTGAAAAATCCGATATTGTTTGCGGTGTCCATGATTCGAGTTTGCTCAAAGTCTTGACAGGAAATAAACGTCTCCCCTCGTCACTTAACTGTATATTCAGGGACTCTAAATAACACAAACAAATTTGAACCTTTTTTGTTTCCCAGCTCATCAACAGCAAAATGCACATCTTCTTACCCAAGGAATGAAATTGACTTTGCAGAGAAATCCTAGTCAATACCCTCGCTTTAATGGCTTGTATAGTGCGCTCCATGTGCGAGGCGCTGACTGAAGGTTCTACCTCCTGAGCCTTTAGAGAAAAGGAGGACGTATATATGGTTAGAGATATGTACTACAAGCATAGGAATCCCAATAAATATTTTTGAAATAATAAAAGTTAGTCCAGTTGCGTTGTGAGTTCAGTCACGTCAGTGATCGCGAAGCATAAGATAAAAGTTGTTTAATATAGGAAGGCAATGAACCTTATCTGTTTTCACGTCCAATGAGGGAAAATCCAGTCCGCATATTCTCTGTACCCAGATGTAGGGATGACCAATGTTCAGCTTAGGAAAAGCAACATCGCTGACCCTGTTGGAAATAGTAGAGAGTTCAAAACCATCACCCCGAAGTATTTTCCAAACCAAACATGCCTTTAAAGGAAGGTAGAAAAATAAAAATCTTTACAATTGGCTTACCCCAGATTGCTTAGTTGAAAATGATTGGCTGGATTTGGCGTGACGTCACCAAAGTCCTGGGGGAAGAGACACGTGAGAACGGAATCTGGGGAAAGCAAGGATCTAAGAAAAAGAGGGAAAAAAAGAGAATGGTGAAATTTAGTAGGATTTGCTTCCATCCAGCCTTAATATATACATATCAGTGATCACAATGCTTTTACCTTCCAGAAAATACGGGAGAATTGTCCGGTTGTGTGGAAGAAATGGAAACAGTCACCGTGACAATGTTCAGAGATTGGATGTAACTGAACAACAAAACCGACTTCTCTTCGGCTGAAAAATTGAAACAGATCAATGTGAATTCGACAATAATCTCCTCTTTCAATATCAGTAAAAAAACATTCACCACTGACCTTTGCATATCAGCTCAAGCTGGACCTGCAGTGGGTGTTCTTTGAGGGCCGTTTTAATTTTTTCTTCCCCGCAAAGTTCCTCGGTAGTTCGGCGATGATGGCGTTTCTAAAACAATCGAAACATGTTTCTTTTATATCTAACATAAGCAGAATTTTATGAAGTCAAGTTAGAGGAATCAAAGTTCAGTGAAATGCAGGGCTGGTATTGTGTTTTATCAATGAACCTTGGGTTGTTCCTCTGCCTCTGGTTCATCTTCCTCGTTCTTTTCAATTTTTTCATCAAAATCAACATCAACAACACCTGTTAGAAGAGTGTTGTGGAAATGGGCAAAAAAATACCAGCATTCAACTACATATATACATGGAGCTTAGTTATAGAAATGTTCCGTTGTAATCCTTGGGGGAAAAAGGTCTACATTAATCAGAGAATCACACCTAGACTGCCAGTGCTGAAACTATTGGATGATTTAGTGTACCTGGTTTATCTTCAATCACAGCCTTGGCTGCCTCAACATCGCCAATAATCTCCACTATCATATGAGGATCTACATAAAAAATTAGGATGGTATAATACAGTACACTTCACTTCAGCTCAAAATAAGCCCAGTGCCCATCACATTTGCTAAGTAGTTAAGTTCAGTCCATCAGATTTTAGTCCACTCTCAGCTCACTCCATTCCACTTGTAAGATATCAGGTCAGTCTAGTTTAATTCAGTTCACTAGATGTTAATGTGATCAGATCATTCACAAAAAAGTATTTTCTCACCACAAGCTTCTTGGTATGCCATTGATTGAACAAACAGGACATAAAGTGGCCTAAAATCAATTTGTTTTGGTCAATTACTATTGCTGTGTCTATATCCACTCTCAAAACGTAAGAACTATAGTTCCATAGAGTTTGCTATTGTATACAAGCTGTCAGTTGAGTTTCCAAACCTTGGCAAATACTTGGCAGTCTGATACTGAAGTCTCTTGCTTTCTAACCGTAAACCCAAGAATTCTTGTATTGGTGATGTAGCCTAGATAAGGCAAACAGAATCTTAACTTCCACTTATGTAATCTTCCACTCATCTCTCTTGGCTTGTCATCTGGTCATCAAATTCTGAGATTAGAATATTCCATCGTCTTCTTATTGTTTCCAAAATCTCACTGTTCTCTGACTACATTATGTCAACTACAATCATTATCTAATAAGATAATCATAATAGCACTACAGTATTCCATACCTTAAGAATAGTTTTGAGTTGTGGCTCCAAGCTGTTCAGAAACTCTTTCTTTGTTTGAATTTCCTGTGATATCATCTTTCTTTCAGCAACATAATTTTGCTTCTTTCCTGTTAAACTAAATTTGATACACACAACACTAAGTTTACATTCCTCTGTGTAAGTAAAAATGCTGCAGGTACACAAATATTTAAATGAATGGGCTGCACTACCACAAAATACAAAAACCTCCGGCTCTAACCTTTTTCTCTCCTGTAGTTCCCAGCCAAGTCTTGACAGCATACGATCGTGTGAACTTTCTGTTAATAATTCATCCTTTGATGTGTGAATAGAGATCCAAAGATGAATACACAAAGTGTCAACGGTGATTCCAATTGTACATATAAACATGCTATCTGATCCAAATCTGACCTACCATATTTTTTCCGTTTTCTTTACAAAACTCCTCCTCGGAAACTAAATCAATTTCCTGATCCTTTGATCTGTGAATGAAGAAAGAAGCAATGTCAATGAAAGACATTGCCTTACAAAGTGTCAAAAATCATCAAAGTCGTTGCCATCTTTTTTATCTTACTTGAACTGTAGGCATTTATTAATTTCCTTCTTCAAATGTGTTATCTCATAAAGCAAATTTTGCAGCTGAAGATGTAGACTATCAACTTCCTGTTTTGCCTGGAAACAAGTTGGGTACACAAGTGAGATATATATTTTCTCCACTGTATTAAATTGTCACCCATAAAATAGTCACAGGGAATGTTAACATATATTATGAGAACCTCCTGTGTTTTTTCTCGTGCTTGTTTATTTCGTATCTGAGTTGAGCGATTACATTTCTTGAGAGAAACAAAGGACAGCAGACATTGCATGTGGAGACTGTTCAGTCCAGGGTCCTGAAGAATAAAAACCAACAATTGGTTTGTGTAATTATCATTGGTTATATAGCGAGACAATCACAATCTTTTCACTCTCAATCAAAACAAAATCCATTATACAAATTATTAGTTTGAAGCTATCTGGTCTCCTTTCAAACAAATAAGCAAAAGTACAAGAATTATAATTTAGAAACTCACTGTTTTTTCAACGCCTTGGTCTTTGAGGACTTTCATTTGTTCAAACAAGCTTTTTATAGTTCGGCATGCCTTTCTATACTTCTCCATATCCTTGAAAGATTGGCTTTTAACAACCTCAGATTGAGCGTTCTTACTGCTGCCACTGCTAGCACCTGTGTTCAAGCTTGAACTAGTCGATGCCGGTCGAGTTCGGGTTGATTTTGACTCATCTTCTGTAGTGGAGCTTGCTTTGACAAGCTTCTTAGAAGGCTGAGGTGATGAACTCGTTGCATCAGACGAAGTACGCGACCTTTTTGCTCTCATTATGTAGTTATTTTGATATAAAAAACACTAAAAACGACTTTAAAATCTACACAATGCCACCGCCATCTTGGTCTTCAGCAATTTTGGTTATCCCTCAGTACCATAGCATCTTCCCCAATATATCCCTATATCCTCCAATATCCCCACCCATATCAACTACATGCCAATTACATCAAGTTTTTATCAACTCACAATAACAAAAATATTTTATTTGCATTCCTCTTTTTGTTGATCGAAATATTTTCACTTTTTTGTTGGTTTTAGATGAAATGCTGTGCTAAAACGAAAGGATGCTTTAAATTGAGTTGAACATCATGGGTTTCCCGCTAAATTGCAAAGAATTTTGCCAGTTTGTAGCTGTGTATAACAGGATGGACATTTAATATCAAAGAGATTACATCATGGATGATCCAACTTCAAATCAAGCAAAACGTACAAAAATCGCTCCCGCTAGACCACCTCCACCAAAAAGGATGCCAAATGACATGCCTTCCACAGTTCGCAAACATTACGAGGAACTGTCAAATATTCGTGCAGAGCGCGTGAGATGGTTTTATTTTGAGGACAAAAAGTGGTCACCGTTTTGTGGTCAGGAATCGTTAAGAATTGAGCAGTGTTATCGGAGTCAGGCCAAGCTGTCAAGTCATTTAAAAACATCGCCAGATCTTTGCGAAGTGTGTACAGTTCTTGGTGGCCTTTATGATGTCGACGTCGCGAAACGAATTTGCAAGCCAGTGTATTGGAAAGGTCTCGGGGCCTTATTTATAAATATAGTTGATTAAACTTTAACTTATTCACCCTCAAACTTCCCCCTTTAATAAGCAAAACATGCGAGGTGAAACAGCAAAGCAATACAAATTTACACCCAGACTACTTCTCATCTGTGAAAACGACTCGTTCACAGCAATTACAATTATTGAAATGGAAACCATGCAGGCTTAAAAAGTTGTGTGTGCATGGGGATTATGCAAATTAAAGCTGTGAGTCTGTGACTTTTAAATTAGCAAGATTCCCAAAGTCTGCTGTGTACAGTCTAATTAAACAATTTAAAATCTTCAGTAGATCCTTCGGGTCATCACTGCATGATGATAGGTTACTTATTGATAGGAAATTCTTTCAGATATGACAAATTTGACGAACTAGAAGTACAAGATTTTATCATGTATTCTTTAAGGAGAGCGTACAAATTTGAGTTTTCTTTTACAGCTGACCCCTTGGAAATATGTCGGGGTACATGGTTCAAGGGATCTGCTAGTGAAACCCATTGGACTCCAATAACTGAAGAAGAAGCAAAACTTATTGAACAATCTCATCAAATGCTGTGGCATTCTATGGTATAGAATACTATATATAGTTGATGAGAAATAGCTAATAGTTTAATTTTGAGTGAACCATCAAACACATAGTCTTGCAAGTTTACTGTAACATTTAGAATGTCAATTTTTTTGGATTGGCTATGGCCTATCAGTAAAAGTAGATATAACATTATTTTTTGTCTTATCAAGGGTTTAAATCCAGGTGTTCCACATGTAAATAACTCATCAAATACTTCAACCACCATTAATGACACAGAAAACAAGAATGGTAAAACCTTTGTATTATATAATAGGTTGCTCATTCTGACGGTTTAGACAGTTGGTTGGCTAGGTAGTCAATTGCTGTGTCAATAATTAAACACTTCTGTTCAGTAGCATTGACTTCCATGTCTTGCAGTGTTGTGTACGCTACAACTCTCAGGTTACTATGTGGAATGGACAGACCTTACTGAGGTGTGGTTACATAGTGAAGGAGTGACCTCAAAGATATTTCGTGGAATGGTACAAAAGATTGGTGGCTCTACTGGCGTCCATGCCACGCCCTTGCATAGGGGTTATCACACAGAATGCAGGGTGTCTGATTGCCCTGCTGATGTGACACACCTGGTGTTTGTTATTCATGGAATTGGCCAACTCATGAATAGCAGCATCAATGAGTGTTGCCATATGTAAGTCAGTCGGATCCAATCACAGTTTCTAATTCAGTACCATCTAAGCACTGTCCTAGCAGTGAATAGCATGAACTAGAAAAGATCTGACTAACAAGCACACTGTTCAGACAGGAAAAATGAACTCTTGCAGCCCAAATTGTGGATGGGAGTACAGGAGAGTAGAGTAAAGAGTTAAATAAATACACAACAAAAGCAATAATTGCAAGAAATTTTGTGTTTGTGATTGGTAGAAACTCTCTTCTTTTTGTTTAGGTTACGCAATGGATCAAAGCAGATTGCTGAAAAATACTTTAAGGAGGAAAACTCGAAAGGACGGGTGGAATTTGTCCCAGTGGAGTGGCGATCTTCACTGAAGCTAGATGAGGGAGTGATTGATCTTGTGACACCGCATACTGTACGTGGTGTAAGAAACGTGATTAATACCAGCATGATGGACATCATGTACTACACAAGTCCTTTCTATAGAGAAGAGGTTGGTACTAAGGCTGACTTCCTTTGTATGTTTGGTTGATGTGCTAATCTTCCTGTACGGGAATCCTCAGTGCAACTGGTGTTAAGGCAAGAATAACTGCACCAATTCTAACCTGTCCTTCCTTGAAGTCGAAGTGAAGTAGTAAGTGTTATCCGTTAAATGACTGTGTTCTATTCAATTTCCAGATTATTGGATTCGTGAAAAACGAGTTAAATAAACTCTACAATCTGTTTTTATCACGGCACCCTACGTTTCAAGAGAATGGTAATGTGTCAATAATAGCACACTCACTGGGAAGTGTCATAATATATGACATATTAGAAAGATGGGACTTGAGATTACGAGATATAGAAGCAAGCACGCAGAATAGATTTGTCACAGACAGCATAAACTATCTTAATTCGATGGAAGAGAATCTAGAGAACTCGAATTCACCACGACCTGGTGACTCCAAAAACAACCCCATACATGTCGAGCTGGCCCAAGCACAATTAAGATTGGAAGAGTTAGACTTTAAACTTCACAACCAAATGTCAGGATTGAGCAATGGGCAAAGTTCCAAAGACGCTTTGCATTTTAAGGTTTGTGAGTAGTTTACGCTGACCAATACCATGCAGACGTGGTGACATCCTATACCAACTGTAGTTCTCATTTCATCCTAAAGCTGATATTTTACGACTTAAAATCTTAAATGTAATCTCTACGGTGTTTATTGCTAGGTTGCAAACTGCTTTCTAATCGGCTCACCATTGGCCGTGTTTTTCACCCTACGAGGATTTCGTCCTGGTGAGGAAACGGAAAAGGCTGTGATGCCCCAGATTGTTTGCAAAAGGTTGTTCAATATTTACGACCAATGCGATCCAGTGGTAAGCAAGCTGATAACCTCGTGGTATCCAACGAGAATTATGCTGTTCTTACCACTATTTCGAACTTCTAGGGAAATTCACTTAAACTTACACTGTCATTTTCAGGCGTACAGGTTAGAACCGTTATTTCGCGAGCGTTACTCGAACGTAGAACCTGTGCATATCAAGGGTCACGCTGAGACCAACTACACCTACGATTCCTCTGAGCAAATTTTGCAGCCAGACAGTAGTGGAGGGACTGGAAACTGGTTAGTGTATGCCTTGATAGGTCAACCAAAGGGTGGAAAGGCGGCAGAAGGAAACGCGAAACCAGGGTAGGTGGTTGTTAGGGCTTAATTCGATCTCTAACTTTGTCATCAAGCGTTTTTGAACCTCCAAGAAGAACTATCTGTATCAAAAAGAGATGGTACTGTACTTTTAGGAAGGTTTAAAACTCATACAATCAATAAGAGATGATCCTTACTGGACCTCTAGAAAGAACAGTTTAGAATTGATAGAGCTATCCAGTATAAATAAAACCATCTCAAGGAACATCCTGCTGTATTTCATTTCAGACCAACCCAAGCGAGCACAGATCAATGTGACGGCGGAGATACCACCAATGCAACGAAAGATGTATCCAGCGGTGGATGGTTTTCAAGAATGTTCTCACGAAGTACCACGAACGCTTTTGACGCCAGCGATCAAGACGCAGTCGACGGGGATAAGGAAAACGCTGATTCAACAAAACGGAAACAAGGTACGAATGATGACAGGGAGGGGAGGAATGTAATCCTAGGAGAAATTACTACAGAAGGAACCTGAACTAACGTCATTGATTATACCTTGTGCTATTTCAGTTCTATCGCGAAGAATCGACTACACTTTATCTGAGAACAGAACACAATATTGGTCTGCGATAACGTCTCATCTATCCTACTGGAACTCAAAGGACCTTTGTCGTTTTGTGCTGCATCAAATATACTCTGACAAGGCGTTGAATCACGATCAGTAAAAACATGATGATTTTTATATACACAAAGCACTGCTTTGTGGAAAGTTGCGCGCAGAAAGATGTACCGTAAAAATAGTTTCGTGTTGGAAAACACGAATTTCGCGCTAGCAAGCTGCAGCACAGATAGCATTACTCATGCCATTTTTGGCCGGAAAACGATCGATGTTTGCAGAAAGCGTTCAATCAAATCGAAAGACACTAAGTCAGTGAATGAGTGTATCTCAAGTTTATCTTTAATATTCGTTTGTTATAACAACATTGTTTTGCTAAATATATTATTAGTATGTACAATCGATTATTACCATCTTGTAGTAAAGTCACCCTTGCTATATGTCGAATATAAATTATTTCTTACATTACATATATCCAATTACATCATTTCTAAAGCACGAGCCCTATCCACTGATCTGCAATATACAACTGGACATTATCTCGGCCACTTTAAATCAACAATGAACTAATAAGTTTCTACCTATTTTTGGTAATAGATATCATAATACCAGACAAAAATAATCATAGTGTAAATGGCGAGTAACTCAATCCAGCTCTACCATTGCAGATCAGTGGGTCAGCCTGCCTTTAATACGAACTTTTGTTAAATTGCTTTCCTTCCCATTCGGTTACTTTGTGCACGATGAGCGTTGTCACACGTACGAAGATTTTGGATCTCATTTTGGAATCCGGGTCTATTATTGCTCGACCAAAAATGTCGGGTATTCACGATGAAAATACAGCCCGTTCAGTAGCATTACCGCGAGCTCATTAACTGTCTTTTGTAGCCACCCCAGCCCCGTGGAAGAAACTCTGTCGATCTTTGCCGCGCAAACGTTTTCGAAGGCCGCTTCACCTTTCCATTTTTCTTGAGAGCTAAAAACCATTTTCGCATGACTCCGTTTGCCAATGAACGGAGTTCGAGAGAATGGAACGTTACAAAATGATTGTTTCTCTGACTTTCATGAAATAGAGTGTCTTTTGTGTTACCACGCTGAGAAAAAAAATATCGTCACATTTAGTCAGGCGATTATACACACAAGATTGGCTACTTGTCAGCCTAGTCCCTAGACCTCTTATGACGCGCCACTCAATAATTATTCTGCAACGCCATTTTGTAACGTCATTTCGAATTTCGTTTTCGAAGAGAGGCCGAGAGGATATTACGCAACATTTTTTTTCGAACAAAGCTATATATTCATGTAAATATTAGATAAAATACAAAGTAGTTTGTTTTTACTGGACTACTCACCGTCATGTACACTCGTCCTTCTTTATTGAATGCGATATATTTCCTCGTCCTCATATTTAAAATTCTCACAATCCCCACGCCAAATGACTGCAGTTCGAATTTGCCTGCAGAAAAGAACGCGTGAAAAACGATTAGCACGAAGCCTGCAATTCAATTCGGCCTCTGTCGGACATTAAATCTCACCATCTCAAGTAGACCAAAAATAGTTCAGGATAAGCATGCATGCAGCGTCTCTGCGAAGCGCACGGGAACACTGCGGATAATCAAACTGTGCTATGGACAATAATCCTATCAAAAACACATTAAAGTTCACACAATTCCGATTGTTAACACGAACACTTTGACCCTTTTCGCTGTGTTTCTTTGTGAATTTGATTGTTTTTGTCTGTTTGTTGTTTTGATTATGAGCGACGCTCGCGGGGAAACAAACTGTGCTGTTTTTGCGGGCGAAAAGTGAGGACACAATACGCGCTCAGGAAAAGAAATATAAAAGCGAAAAAATTGGATTTCAACGCATGTTATATATCGTGATGAAAGCGCTCACGCCTCACGGAACCTCTTTACCCATAAAAAGATCTACAATTAACATGGATTGAAATCAGATTTTGTTTACACATGCAAGTTTTGCACATGCATTTTTATAAAAAACTGTGAAATCAATATTCATCGCCTCTTTTTCATCCTCTAAAACATTCACGCGGTAAATAAGATTCATTTGGTGGCACTCGAAATGAACTGTTTACAGACAATTTAAAGTCCAATTTAAATAATCCTATTTGATTGTGTAAACACTACCCCTGACAACCAACTGTGTTTTAGATGTTATACGGCGCAAGGCAGCCAGAGCCGAAACTAATATAGTAATTTCTCGAAGAGCTGGGCTACATACTGTGTGTAAAAGATACTGCTGTTATAATTGCAGTCCTTACTGAGCCGAGCGTGTGAAAGCTATACCATCTTAACTATAAATATATAATACATATTGGCAACTCTGTCAAACAGTAACACTGTAGCAGGGTGTGAGAAGAGTTTAGAATCAGTAGGAATCTAAACTCGTATAAGCAGAGTCTATATAAGTCGGAATGTCGAGATAGACGATATATTTTGGATCTGGGGAACTTTAAAGGTTAAAGGGGAGATATAATTATATACGCAAGCTTTTAAGTACGGAACTCAGAAACGCCCAGCCCACAGCAGTGTTGGACCCATAACCTAAGGGAAGGCCCCTAATCTGACAAGATAAAGGAAAAGCCTTTTAAAAGACATGCATGTGGTAGAAGGCGAATTCATGCAATAAAGAATCCTTTGAAGTTGAATACAGTTGATCATGTAAAATGCAAGTAAATCGTCATGGGCCGAAAAGCTGTAAGCGTGGTCGACGTTTTCACAATGTTTTAACGGCGTGAAATGCACCAATTTTGATCTGGATGGCGACGTTTTTGATAAATTTGTTATACACATTATCATTCCTACGCAAATAATCTTATTTCGATTAAACGTTTCCCAGCAGTGGCAAAAATAACGCAGCCGGAAAGATTTAACTCTACGGAGCGAGACATTTATGGAATTAAAAATATTTTGACTGGAGTTGCTCTAGACCACTATAGTCAGACGTTTTGAAACTGCCATAAATTGTAAAACAGCGAGCTTAGTTCAGTTTCTCTGCAACAAAACTGGGCCAAAAAAAGATTACGCTGATTTTAACCTCTAGGGAGCACATGCAGTTTAAAAGCTACCCAGTATATGAAAGTAGTTTTGGACCAGTTTATTCCCGGAGTAAAACATGACGATCTGATCATAAATTCATCACTGATATAGTCTTATGAGACTTACAGGGTTATCACTTTTTATCTATATAAATTAGCAAACAAATTTTTCAAACAGAAAATACACAAAAACTCACCAAATTCTTTTACTTTGCTTGAATTAACCGTTCCTTTGAGTCTTCCTTTTTCCACTACGAGATAGTTCTTATTAAAACACATGAGCACGACTTTCTTTCGATTCGTTGGGTGTTTTCTGTGAATGCTTATTTGTTGTATTCTTGACAACCTCTTTGCTCGTAACGTTTGAGCTCCTTTCACCAGCATACACTCGGTGAAGAGTAATAGCAATATTTGAGTTGAGATAAAGAAGCCTGGAGTCAATTTCATTTTCTACAGAATGGATGAAAAAATGGATCAGTTAAATAGAAAATATAACGGGGTAGAGCTGTTGTAAAGTATTTCTATGAGGGGGTATGCGAGCAATAGGTGGTTAGGTTATATGGTAAATTGCTGGTTTGGTTAAGAAGGTAGTCATTTATAGTTTGGTGAGCTAAAAGGCTGGGTGGAGGTTAGATAGGGTGGGGAAAAGTAGAGATAGGTATGGTCTTGGGTAGAAAATTACAGTAGGCAGGTGACACGTTGTGTGATGAGGTGAGGTGTGGTGTGGTATGAGGTGAGGTGAGGTATGAGGTGAGGTGAGGTATGAGGTGAGGTGAGGTGTGGTGTGGTAAGGTGAGGTATGTGGTGTGGTGAGGTATGTGGTGTGGTGAGGTATGGTGAGGTAAGGTGAGGTATGAGGTGTGGTGTGGTGAGGTGTGGTGTGGTGAGGTAAGACAAGGTAAACTAAGTTAGGTAAAAATGAAGAGGCGAGACAAGTTAGTACGAGGTGGGGTCTTTAAGACTAGATATGGCAGAACAAAAGGTGATAATTAGGTATGACAATGGAGGTAAAATAAGGTTACGTAAGGTGAAGTAAGGTAAGTTATACTGTTCTATTCATCAGATCAGTGCCATAAATTGACAAAACTAACTATTCTCGTTGTTACAGGACATGACTTTCTTTTCACCCTGTTCAGACGTTTCTCCCACTCATTTCCCCCAAATGTCAATCAACTACGCGCGCATTTAGCCGGGAGGATGGGTTGAAAAATTAAACAACATTAGAAAACGTCTATCTTAATTTGCCAAGAGGAAATCTGAATAACAAATTGCGATAAAACTAGGCAATATCCTCCGAAGATTATAGCTATACCATGCCCTAACTGACTTTGCAGACGAGAGCGGTGTCGCAATTCGCACGCTTAAAGAAAACGAACAGCGCAAAACGGGCATAAATCGAATCTCACGGATTTCAAAATGAGATTCATAATCTTTGATCTTACATGTCCCTGACAAAGAACCTTTCACAAAATTAACCAGAGGGTAGAATGAATACTATCGTAGCTTAAATCGAACGCTAAAACAGACGCATAGGTCCCTTCAAAACCCGGAAAAGATACTTAACATTGCGGTTTACCATCGGGAAGCACCTAAACGCGCGCGCGTTATATGAGGATCATCATAAAAGCATCCCTTCAGTCAAGCTAGATGAATATTAAGCAACTATTGAGGTCATCAGGGCACGCTAATGTTCACATGAATTGTAGTTATGAATCGCCAATGACCATCATTCTCAAAACCACATCATAATAATGTATGAATGACCGGTTGTATGTACAATGAATGAATTGAATGGCACGTTTAATCGCGGATGTCCACCATCATTAAAAGCATATTTGATTTAAACGAAGACAACAATTCACATCCGAGTGTTGGTGATTAGAAACTTGGCTCCCGTATAAATTGGGGAGGTAAGTAATAATGAATAAATGCATGGCCAGGCATCATCTCACTCTGACTGACGCTGGTATTTTGAATAAAATTCTCACAATTGGAGAAGCGTTACAAAGCGCTGAGCATCACACCAATTAGCTCCAAGTAACTCGAGAAAATTCTACTAGCCATCAGGTTAGTTTTAATGCAGATAGACTTTTATAGTGAACTTTAACACACGGGTGAAACACTATATATTGTATATATGAGAAAAACAAGGTTGTTATTTGTATCGATAGCATTTCATAAACCTCCTCTGATAGACGTATTCAAAATTGAACTGTACAAAAGTACCGTAGTAAACATTTGATATGCATGAGCACCGTACATTATGAGGACAGGACGTTACACTATGGCTAAATTTAATACCATTGTCAGTATTGCAAGTATAATCTCTAAGTTTATACTTTACCTCATTTAATTTACTATAGGAATACACTAAACTAATCAAGTGATATTATGGTTTATTTAACAAGCGCAAAACTTATACCGTAGTTTGATGCCAGCCTGGACTGATATTCCTCGAATACTGTCGCCTTCGTTCCAGCGAGACGGATCACGCGTATTCCGTTCTCAAGAGTGTCTACAAATTGCTTCACTCGTAATTGATGCGTCAAGAAAGGTATGCACTGGCAGTTACACCTGCCCTCCGGAACTAAAATGCGTTTAAACAACAATCTCGTCTCGGGAGGTCCACGATCTATTTCCAAATTGTGTTCGCACACGCGAAGATAAGTCCAGTTTGAGATTAACCTGCGCCTCCCTAGTTCAACTATCGACGCCTGGTAATTTAGCGAATACTTTCACATCAAGTCCTACGATTAATGCAGCAATTTACGATCTCAAATATTTATATTATAATCATTTCAAAAGCTATATGGATCTATCAGCATCCTGTCTTTTGAATGCAAACAATCCTGGATGAATTGCTCTAATTTGTGTCGACTTTGTTTTTGCACTGGTATGCATTGAAAGTGTTTTGTCTTTCTGTGTCGAGCCGTGAAAACGGCGCAGCAAATTTCCGCCAAAAGCGCGACAAAACAAGCGCGCATAGGGAAATACGGGATGCACACATGCTGCGTCAGCAACGGGGAACGGGAAACGCAACGAAAACGCCGAAGTCTTTCGAAACGGTTTGATTAAAGCGAACAGATTGTTTGGATTATAAACTCATCTCGCCAACTCATGAATACATGAACAAATAAGATATGACTGGCCGTTTCGGAAACTCATTGCCTAACAAATCTACAATGCGCATTATGCATGAGTAACGTTCGTGTTTAGATGGCTATTATTAGAGTGATGGTTTCAAAAAATCTGGCTCGATTCAATCCATCAAAAGTAACTAAACTTGCTGTTTCCAAATACATTCATGCTGAAATTTTATATAATTTTCTCTGCTGTTATTTGTCCTACATGCAGAAAGGCAGGCAGAGAGGTAAAAAATGAGGGAATCAAATTGCTCCCTGAGCCTCACTCCTTGCATTGAATATCAAATAAATTTCCTATAGCATAGAAAAATATATGAAGATATTTTTTTATGCATAAGACATTAAACGCAGCTTCATTACAACTGGATACGCAGAGAGAATTTTTAAGACAATACATCATGTTAAAATGATAAATATTCTGCAACACTACCTCGCTATATCGCAAAATGGTTTTAAGATTTATTAGCCCTTGATCGACATTATAAAGGGTATATATTTAACCATATATTATCACTGGACATACACGTCAAAAGTACACGCAATTATTGGGAAAAGTATTCCCGCCTCCTCAATGTTTTTCGTCATACATCTGCGTGGGTTCGAGCCAGTCACGAACGAAAGAGATCAGTTAAATATTACCACAAACTCGATGAAATGCTTCAGGCTAAGTGACAAAGCCACGAAAACAATATGAATAAAAAATGCCCTAAAATATTACGAAAACACCTCTCCTTATCAAAACACATTGAAGACTTGCCTGTCGTATAAATTAATTGACATCGTTTACATGCACGAGGGACAGCCAAAGCAAATATTTTTCAAAGGAAATAGACTATTTTCATTAAGCTATTTCTATATATTTTTTGAAATATCATAGAGTTTAAAAGACCTGTTGAAACATCTTGCGTTTAGCCTTTTAAAATGAATGCCTTAATGCAATCGAATTCAAGGTAAAAACTAAAGTATATTGGTTTGCTTTGTAAATAGCACGGCTGCATCATTGCACTAAATACATTCAAACGACTTGTGTATATACTGGCTATTTGTCAGCGTGGCTTGTGGTATTTAAGTAACAACTACGATACTGACACTTTATGGCAGATAGTGCTTTAGGGCTGACTACATGTAGAGAAGAAAAGAATATAACCTCATATAGGGTGACGATTTTATTCAGTCATTAATAATTAGTCTATAGTTGATTTTTCTATGATGTTTATAAGGTAATAAAAATCTACGGGGGCTAAGTGAAGTATACACTGTTAAAATGTAAATGAAAATCATATCAGGGTAGTAAATTAAAACTCGATTGAAACACAAGAATGTAATGTAATATAAAATAGTTGTTTCAGTATGAGAGACTGATATAAACTCCAAACACATAAAATAAGTAAATGTTTTTTCTACATATTCTGAAAGGATAAATACACCTTGAGTTATTGCCATGCATGTCGCTAGCATAGATAGTTTATCTGCAAGCAGAATCTTACAAACGGATTTCATGCGACTAGCTTAAATCTGATTGGCTTAGCCGTTGTCGAACCGTGCAATGTGATTGGTTAAAATATCTCAGCCTTTGGAAATCGCGCGTTCCAAATGCAACAGCGTATATATAGTCTGATATGCAATTTGCCTGGCGTGATATCCTGTAAAAAACAGCAAGAATTTTTTGACACCATAAATAACACTTATCCTACGGGCATCTTTGTTAGTTATACTTTACCGTGTTAACTCACCGGCGAGCTCTATATATACTTGAATTATCAGGATTTTTGGCAGGTCAAATTGAAAATTGTTGACGCTATTAGCAAGAAAATAAACTACAATTATCGACTATGTTTGAGCAATAAAAAAGTACAAGATTTTTATGTACATGCTAAAATAAGGACCGCTATTTTCCTTAACGATAATCAGATATTTCTTATCGTTATAAGTGCTTACATAGTGTAGAGTTACGCACTTTAGCAAATTGACACTTACACAATTTGTCGGGTATATATGAAGTCGGCTTTGGCTGAATGTTAACAGCGAGATTTGGCGGTTGACGGTGTTTATGCCGTCGTTTTACACGTATTTATCATAATATCATTAATGTGGATCAGAAATGCCCGGCCTGTACATGTATTGTACTTCATAATTCCATAAGCTATCTACAAGGGCTGAGGGTGACTATATAGAAGATTGCTCTTAACATCTTAATTAACGATTGATATTTCTTTCGAGATTTCTGTCAGATTTTGTTGGGAAATTATTTTTTTTCATACCAACGCCCATGCACTAATAATTAAACCCTTCAACAAAGTCAAGTTGAATAAAATACACAAAAATATTCAACTACATCTTAGATTATACTTAAATAGAAGAATATGGTATACAGTAATACAGACAAGAAAATCAAGAAAGTTTATTTCATTTCACCCTAGTCACTATATTTAATTTATAATCCAGTAATTCAACACTTCCTGCAAACATTAGTTTTGAAGTGGACCAGTCATCTTCAAGAACATTCTCTATAGACTAAACTAATGTTTAAATACAAAATGAAAACTTACACCCAAAGCTATAGGCGGAATACCTCAAGGCAAAACTGGAGCCAAAGAGCTAGGAATGAGTTTACTGATCGACGTTTTTAATACAGCAACCGCCTGTGTAACCAACCAAAGTGATCCTGAAGATGCTGTATGCTGTATACACCAGCGACTGTGAAGGTAAGCAATGAAACAACAATCAACACGCTCGATTTATTGAACGGCTTATGTGAACGGAAGTTCCCCTGAGCAAGTCGGGTATTTTTTTCTCAGACCCCTTCAGAGGTTACTCTTGCATTGGTAATTATCAGTTCCTCTGCGATAGAACGTTACACAGCGAGAAATGGTTGCAAAGATTCCTTGGGGATACGTTTGGATTACGAATCTTCGGGCTCGTTGCCAGTGGACGGCCTTTAACACATCAAATCCAATAAAAATCTTTCAACTTCTCAGATTGGGTTCCATGTTAACTCCTCAGAGCTCAAAGCCGCCAGACTCAGACGAGAACGTATAAAATATAGCTATCGTGCGCAGACGTTGAAATATGCAGCAGGCATTTCTTTCCTTGTAATCGGTATTAATTCTGGTATAAACGTGCTGAAAATATTTCGGATATATTCTCAAAGAAAAAATCTCAAATTATATTTGGCCGTCTATATGAAGGATTTCGTTTCCTGAACACGCGGGCTTGAGGTATTTCACTTCACGAGAAAAGTCCTCAAAATTGAAAGATTTCATAATCAAATTCCTTTCCTATGTTTACAATATTCGTGGTGAAATCTTCAATTGAACGTAAATGAGGCTGTCGTGCGCACTGAGCCACTGACGCACAGATGAATCACGGATTTGTTGGCGGAGATGATAGCAAAAAACGTGGGAAAAATCGCGCAGACTTTGACGTCATTGTCAGTAATGAATCCCCAGAATTCTTTCAATGAGAAACTGGTATATCTTTCAGAGACGATTATTTATAAAAGACGACTGCAAAGATTGACTTCTAATCAACGTCACAACTCTAAGAAAAAGACCCCGGGCAATTATTCTCCTCTACAGGATTGTAAAGTTTCCATGTCAACGAATTTTGAATTATATTCTTGTAGGTTTGCATTAGCTTGTAGGTACACCACGTCAGCATTTAATACTGCATATTAATATTAAATACTGCAGTCAATACTTACGTGGTGTTCCTACAAGCTAAATTACTTATTGATGTCACCATGCAAACATACAAGAATATTAAGCTAAAATTCGTTGACATGGAAAGAGGCAGATATAAAGATTATATTTCCACCTTTCCCCAGACGAATTTGTACTTTACTGATTATAGTTTCAATAGCAACAACAACAACAACTACAGCAAGGTTCAATTCAATACCATAAATTCATGAAACACGAAAACAAGGCGATTGTGTTGAAAAGTAAATAAATGTTGAGGTCCATTATTCTCCTGCAGAAAAGATTCCCCAAACAATCTTTTTACCTTAAATCTTGCACAAGGAAACATTAAATATATATATGCACGTTTAGGTAAAAGTTATACTGCAACCTCGCTACATAATATAATAAAAAACAGGGAAAACAGGTAGATTTTAAAATCAAAATGTCAAGTGACTCATGCATAAAGATAACCTTGATCTTCCAGGGAACAGTATGATCATGACAGTGCAGACCGAAGTCTTGGCACCGGAATCGGGATTCCATTCTATCACCAAGTTCATATGCGGGCAGCCGCAGGGCAGATAGACGGCAGTCTCGTCTTCCTAATGCACCGCCTTCGAGAAGTTTCAAATTTTTAAAAACTTCCTATATTTTTCTCAAAGTATCATGTCTTCATGTTATGACAAAATATCGAGAAAAATTACATCACGGGAAAACTGGTAATCCAATATTCTAATAGAGAAGCATCTTATCAGTATCTAAGAAGTATATAGTGGCCCGCATTACACTGCAAATTGACATGTTTAACAGTCGTTTATTTTTGTATATACCGTGTCCAGCCCCTTTCCATTTTCCAGCTCATTAACTAATACAGTATTATTAAATTCAACACGCTAATGAAACAATGACGCAAGTCTTAATCCTTCCGAAGTAGGTACAGGCCATTTATAATGTTTAATAGGTTTTGTTGGGGATTATTTGAGTGCATGTGAGTGTCTGGAAGACGGAATTATCAGATTACATGCTCTTGAGAGAATTTCGCTAAATAAAACAGCCAGATACAAGCCTCGATTCTGCGCATTTTTATATACTGCTTGTACCAACATGACATATACCATACAAATCACACGAACCGCTCGTGTTAATCTATATCTCAAAATTCACAAATTCTGTATATCCTAATACTTTCGGTATTAAAATCATTATCTAAAATCCACGCAAAAAGCTATATATTTTTTACAAGTCCTTAACTAACAGGATTAAATACGCTATCGTCTTAATCTTATTTAAGCCTGAATCTCAGACGTTTTAAATCAATTTTTGAACTCGAAACGTAAAGATAAAAATTTCAGTGAAGATTCAATACATTGCCAAAGCGTATTTCCACCGTTGGACGTCTCTTACAAATACAGACTCACAATAATGTAGGCATTGGGCAACTGCTGTGATCTCTCGCATTGCTTTGTTAGTGTATAAAAAGGCGAAACAAAACCGCTCTGTTGAGGAGTAAGATATATGCGATTGCATGGGATATAAACCGGAAACTGCTATAAAATGATAACAAAGAATCCACAGCCAGGAAACGCCGTGAATTAGTTCATAAAGTCTTCGAACAAGCTATTATTGTGGGCGTATTCAGAAACGACTATATACTAATGTGTATAATTATTGTACCTCCATTCGTAAGATCAAATGAGCGATATATTACAGGTTCCCGTTGTGACAATTTGTAAGTATTTCCGTTCGTTTGAAAATACAAAGTTTTTGAAAGAACGTGAATGTACGTTAAACGCCAACTTCAGCGCTAATATATAATTCGCCAGTACAATTATTTATCTTCTCAGCTAATTGTATTAAGGATAAATATACTTTATAATAGGAAGCTTTAGTTTAACCAATACATATGGTAACCCGCTAAATGCAAACTGCTAATTTCAAGCCACATTTGAAGGCGACTTTTGGCACTTTCTTGACCATAGTTTGTCTCAATATATTTACTTTATGTTTGAATATATTGTACTAATTTTACAGACTTCAAAAACTAGGCATGTGTTTTGAAAATTCGAAATCAATTTTACCGTTCTCTAATGTCACTAGCATTTGCCCGAATGGACACCGCAAGTCCAGTTTTAATTAAACTTATAGATCAGCGTCTGCGAGAATGTTTAGCTTCGTCAGCAAATTAGGCCAAGCCTGTGACATAAAATATTTATGCGCGCTATATAAATTCATTTCAATTGAAGTAAAATTATTATTAGGAATTATGGAAATGCTATTAGCTTTGTCAGGAGATTAAACTAAGTCTATCACATAAAACATTCATACACTGGACTACATTTCTTATTCAGCGGCAAAATGGCGGAAAATGGCAAATTCTTTGCCGCAAATTCTCATCCAAATTTCATTGAAACTGAAGCAAAATTTCATGAATATCTCGTTGGAATTTCATGAATATTGTACAGGTATTTGCACTGAAAAGTCGAATATTTTCCGAGTTACTCAGCAGTGCGTCTAAAAGTTAACAACCGTGAATTTGTTCACCCAAAGAAAGTCGCTAATAAAATCACATACATTGCTTTGTAACTGAACATTAAAATCAACTAACCTTTTAAGTCTTTTCTTTCGTCAACTCGCCTTTGTTTTTTTTACCAAGTCACCCGTCTGCCAAATGTTAACCGTAGACACTCTTGGACCCAAATGCTTGTTCACGACTTTGCGGCGAAGCCTTTTATAGCCAGCTTGTTACCCGAGGGGCGAGGTTTCTCAGGCCTAAAAAATCAACCTGCTGTGAGTTTGTTTGTTTTCGCTGGTTAGACGTGAGTTTTCAGACACAATTCACATCAGTTCGGCAATGTTTATAACTTAATTCTTATCTGCTCAACTCAACCTTAATGTATTCTACGCTAAACCCCCGACGGAGGAAATTACCATCACTCGATAATGAAACAGGGTGAGGAAAGTGCTGCACAGTCTCCTAGCATAGACATAATCATTCCTAAAAGGTTGTAGTCCTCTTGATGCTTCCTTGCCCTACTAAAGTATCTGCTAAGCGAGTGTTAAAGGTTCATATCGCTGACAAAAAGAATTACCAAATGAAGGTTATTTCACACTAATAGTTCATATTTCCTATTTACCAAACATTTGTACATCTCACAAGACTTAGCCTGTACGTTCAATTTGTCCCCCAGATGCCTTACGGGCTGCCATGTCAATTATAGAGTCTGCATTTTACAAGACTGAGTGCATGGAATTATAAAAGGCCACACTATGCCAGAAATTATTTCGCAAATTTAAATAAAAATTGGCGCCTTCTAAAGTGAAAACCATCCACCAAGTACTACTGGACAATGAAACAGGATCCAGCGACATGCATGTAGTGCCTTTTTTCGCATAAGATTGTACTTCTTATAAATGGCAATCTTATAAACGATAGTCAGTCATCGCTAACCAACGAAGTGTTTTGTTATCTGAAGTAAGTCCACTTTGTAAAGACTAACAGTAACAGACAAAACTATAGTGTACTCTAATATGCTAATTATAGCATAATAATAATTTCGAGACGGCATGGCATGACTGCGCATTTTAACAACCAATTGGCATATTTTGCGCCATAGGAGTATAGGACCAGTCATAAAAGACGTAGGAACAAAAACATAATTCTAAATTTATAATATGCCTGCCTACGCAATTTCTTTACATTTATCTCAAGGAGAAGACGCAGAATTAGATCATATCTGATGTACACGCTTATATAAAGTAAACGTCGTCCAAGGCTTTTCATAATGACACGATATAATTATCTTTCCATCCAGTCAAAAACACTGTTCAATTCTTAGACTGTTGGAGCGCTTCCAGTGCCCTAACTGATCGTTTGTCGTAAAGCGGCCTCCTTTGGTGAACTGTCGAATCATATTCAGTCATCGCTGTTTCCTCGCTGAGAAAATATAATTGACCTATCAACTTCCTATCGTAGTGTTGGTTTTCGAAGACGAAAATCATAAGTTCACACTGCTGAAGCCCAGCATGACCTATAGTCATGGCAAATGCGACGATCGATCGAACTTTCTCACGAGTTTCTTTTTAGACACTCCATTGTATATACCGTTCACATGTTATTTCGTATACCGCCGGTAATTAGCTCAGTAATGGCAACGCCCTTATATAAATGCGCTAATTAAAATGTTGTTTTGCCGAAGCAGACTTCACTGCGACTGTTTTGTGGTCTCACAACTATCGCCAAAATAGATTTGCAGGAAAAACACACACCTCAGCAAAGCAATGTTTACGTTTCAGATATACTTTCTAAGGTGGTTTAGATACCAACCGCAACAGCTTATTATAAAATACTGCCAACACTGGACCACCACGTTTAAGATATCTTTCTCAGGTAGTTCAGACACAAACCACAACAGCTTATTGTAGAATACTACCTACACTAGACCACCACGTTTGAGATTTCTATCTCAAGTAGTTCAGACACAAACCATCGACAGCTTATTGTAGAATTCTACCTACACACTAGACAACTAAGGTATCACATATGTATACTTATTGCAACAATATAAGTTTCTATAAACGTACCACGTTACTATAAATAAACAGCCAAACAGGTGTTGAAATGGCGATGAAAAATTTAAAGCGTTTAACCCAAACAAAATTATTCTTATAAAGCGCTAAGTTTGAAAGCGGCTTTGAATCTACACGCGATTCGAGAGTCACGATTCTAAGAATTTATAAGCTTAGGTTCGCTCGGCGGCAAATTTCAGACAAACGAACATTTTACGCAAAAACAGGAGGAAAATTTAGACGCTGGACTTGTCACAGCAGCGTGAAATATCGTTTTTTATATCCTGTCTATAAATAAATTGTTTTTACAGCAATATATGCTATTTCTTTCATATCATTTGTGTCACATCCTCACCCACCCATAAAGTTGGTTTTCTGATGCGCCTGTGGAAGGAAACCACAGACTGCATGGCTTAAAACTGTTAAGCCGGTGGTCGTCATAACACCGAATAAGATTAGGAAAACGTTTTGGGCGAAAAATTACCGCATTTAAGTGAAAAAATGTTGGCAATAAATTTGTCTACTCTCTCAGGGATGAAAGAACTCTCAATACTTCATATAACAACCTCTCTTACAGGATTTCCTCATAGCTTTCGCTGCGTGAACTTTGTTCGGCGTCCGCCATCTTGGATATTTCTTCAAATATATCACGCAATAGTTTATCATGGTTCAAGACGTTTGAAGTTTTTACGTTGGAGTGTTTACATTTCCACCCCAAATAGAATTTTTTAACAGCTTCAGTTAAGTATACCACACAAAATATATAAGTGTTAAGTAATTCTGCTCAAAAACTAAATCCAATTAGCCTTACTCACGATGACGAATATCCGCAATTTTTTTGGTACTTTCAATTTTCTTAAATGCGTTTAAACTATATAATAGCAATGTAAGAAGCATTTTTTAGGAGTCAATAGACCATTTGAGCAATAAATTAAGCTAAATTTAAAGGCAGCCGCCCTGAAAAGGTCTTGCGCTCACAATTTAAAAAAAAAGTACCCCAAAATGGCGGCGCATTCGTGACCTAATTGCCTGCCTTGGATAATTGCATGTTCCAGTTGTATTAGAGTTCAATGGTTGTGACGCAATTAAGATCTAATCAAAGGAAAGTTCAAGATGGCGGAGGTTATCAAATTTTATCCAGATCAGTCAAAGTGAATTACTTCGAAAACTGTGCAAGAAACTATGATAAAATTTTACTCAGATATAAAGTGAATTTTAGCAAAGAAACTATCAAATAGTTAATGGTTTCTTTCATTCAAAAACACCAAAAAAATGTTTATTAGGGCAATTATTATATATAGCTATATTGCTTTGACATTTCGTACCCCACAGTCCAAAAATACCCCACGATCTTTGGTCCCCAAAAAAGAGCTGCCCTGAAGAATTATTGCGTCACTCAGGAATTCAATATACGACCTTAAAACCGAATGTTATGCAACGGCTAAAAACACCGACATACGTAATATGCGCAAATATACTTCAAGTGTCTTCACTCTTAAAAACTTTTTTCCTAATTCAATCAAGTTAACATTGAAGTTTTAGTTTGGTTTCCAATATAGATATATGTATATATATGTAATATATTTATCTCATGCACACAGCGAATACAAAAAAAAACTTGCAAACATGATTATGTTGCAACTTTTGCATATTATCGGCACAAAATTTCCCACTTTCGTTCAACTGGACAACGAGGAGTCAGTAATCGAGTCGTCACTCCAGTTCTAATGCACGAACAAGGATCAGCATGCACGTTTCCAAGGCTGCCTGAGCACGTATCAGACTTCCATGATGAATCGAAAAGTATCGAACTGATTCATTTTCCATCGTTAGGAAACCTAGGCCATGCACCCAATACTCAGAAAACCACGACGAATCAAGCATCGTATGCAGCTTTTCCCGACTATTTCCAGGTAAATATGAAGAGTTTTTACAAAACATTCACTTCATATTTCATTAAATATTAATCCTGAAATCCTATTAACAACCTAATGCACCTTATGTGAAGCATTATATATTCATACAAGTTTTACACACAACAAAACTTTTAAGATTTGGTCGTCGCAATAAAACTGAATAAAAAATAGCCCTTGTCTTATTCAAATACAGACAAACTATATACGACAATGATGTCTAAAGCAAGCAATTTTCCCCAAGGTGGGCTGAGCATTATATTGTTAGCTAAGCTGTAAATTACATGCTACTCTTGCCTACTAATACCCATCCAATATCGTCAAAAAACGTTACAACAAAAAATGCTTTTACCTTTCTAATATCCGAAGAAATAGGAAAGTAATTTTAGACCTTTGTGATGCTCCGTGAAGCGTTAGAACGCGAGGAGATTTTTGAACAAGCTCTCTCTAATGTAACCCGAAGTCAATACAAGAATACTCGAGTCATTACCCTTTATTGTCACTTGAAAATTAACAGCCCCATGCGAGAGTTTCCTAAAGAGCCAATGAGGCGATACTAATCACGCATTGAGCATGACAATTAACATCATTACACACGTGGTCGCCAGTGGCAACCGATGATTTCGTGCTTATTCGATGTTTAAGAAAAATATTTTCTATTTATTTGTCATGGTGTAGAAAGAATCTTTGGCCTTCCTTGCCAACGTCTTTGACAGTTGAATTGCAAGGATTTTGACTAAGCAGTGTTGTTATTGCACTAACACAGTATACGTCTTTGAGCGTTCGTTAAAAATATTGCTCCGAATAAATCATGGTCTATTCTGAAAAGTTGAGAAATCATAGAGAAATTCGGTTATACATATACGTATTAAGAATGTTTCTCTATTTTCTCCAAACCCGATTTTCCTTTTTCTTTCTTTAGAAATGCGACAAACTTCATATACAAGCAGTTAAGGGGAAAGCAATGTCGAGATGATTTAAAGATATATTGGGACCCTGCTTCGCTTCAGATAGGCAGATGCCCTCAAATGATATCTGATATACAAAGCTTCTGGATTGAAATGGCTAAACTATGAAGTGGAAGTCATATTGATATTAAGGTTGTACCTTTTAGCTCCATTTGATGTTATGCCGAGGAATCCTGCGAGAAATTCCTCACAAATTTCATCGCAATAGAAGTTAGGGCAAAGAACACAGTTCAAACTTTAAGAAACGTTGATATTTATAAAAAGAACTTATCCTTAACTCTAGTCATATGCATCCTTAACAAGGCACTTTTCGAAACAAGTGTGTATTTCAAATTACTCTAGAAAGCCCTGGGGCAAAGCAGAACATGCCTTGACTTGAATCTGAGGTGCTTTAGCAAGACATACATTTGCAAAGACTAGCCTACCTTCCACAAAGAGCTATACCATAAATATCCCATGACAAAACACAACAGCAATCCCTGATATTTCCATGTACAAAAAGACGGACAGAAACAAAGATAAACAAAGAATTCCTGGCTGTCTTTTCAAATCTCAAGGACTGCAATGCTAATTAGAGCACCAGAAACGTCGTCCAGTTGTTATATAGTACACTGGAAGAAAGCCAATCTCTGAGCCTTTTGTAGGAAACAAGAAAGTCTTTAAATCGATACTAAAGGAACTGTAATGTGGAACCGTTTAAATCTTCATGTAAACCGTTTGACGTATCTGTTCATACACAATATTCCCACTATATTCGCAATGCCACGATTCGACAGACTGGGTTGTCATGGACAGATCTCCATTAGAAGCCTGGAGTCAGTAATATCCACTTGGCAGAGATTACCAATTAGATGTACACTATATCTCCTCGTGAAATATTCACCATTCAAATATTCACAAGCCTATTTATGCCGAAGCTTCGAGAGCTTAAAAAATGTACTTTATTTACAGTGAAGTACTTATAAGGGAAACCTTGACCAAACCTTGCCCAATATTTGCACCAGGCGCTCTTATAATTGTCTGTTTAAATAACAAAAAAGAACGCTGAATTTTTGTTACTCGTGTTTTAATTTGCACTTGAGCAAGAAAGACATTCTTGGGACTTGTTATGCGTTGGAAAAGACGTAAGAAGTAACAAAATCGGTCTTTCAGCATTAATTTGAATGAGTTGTTTCAACTCGAACACGTACAAGTTTCAAAATAACTCTCTTATAGCTGCATTTAAAAATATTGGGGTAAAAGCTGTTTCGAAAACGTATTGTTGAAAGAAACGGAGTAAAATTTACTTCAAAAGACGTGTAGTTTTTGTCAAATTCACTTCAGGAATTAACGTCAAATCAACGTCAGATTGACTTCCATGTTTTTAAAGTTCTTTAAAGACTTCGGAACTGAATGCTTGAAAATCTCTTCAGAATTTCACATATTTGCTTTTAGATAAGTGGAAACAAAAATCACGAAATTCTAGAACATCGAGTGGAGCCCCATATCACATGTAACTCTCTTGCCCATATCAAATATTACTCTCTTGAGTAACATGTTTCTCAACGTCTGTTTTGCAAGCTGGATTGTAAAGTTTCACTTTAAGCACGATAGCAAAGAGGCTGGGGGCATTGTGGAGGCGTATGGTGTATGATGTGGTGCTGAGCACCCCTATACCCACCAACCTCCCCCCCTCTCCCCATTTCACCCACCTCTGCAATTAACATCACGAAGGCCAATAATACGCTTAGATTGCAAACACCGCAGGCAATCGTATAGTAGCCACGCCATAATGTCTGCCGCTGGCTGTTTCTTATAAGCTGAGTTAATGCTTGAGTGTATTGGGTAGATAATAATAATATATCCAATTTTAAAGACTTTAAAAAGGAGAAATATGGATCAACAAATGCTCTCTATATATACAATCTTCCTGCAAGGGATTCGACTCTATAAAGTCTTCCTAATTTTACGTAGCTGCTCCTGTTTAGGGCGAAAAAATTTGATATTAGCTATGATAGCGTCATATATAAATTTCTACTGTTTAGCTCTATGCATTACCATCCATCGAATTGAGATGAAAGGAAACATTTTTGTTTATACACGCGCGCGATATTAAGATTGTTGTTTTCATCCCAGTTTCCTGTGGACTCGTCTGGACGAAAAGCCATAAGCATGCAGCAATATCGGAATAAACAAAATCTCTGGCGGGTAATTACCAACGTCAATGCACGAATAACACTATAGATTTCAAACATTCAACTTACCGTTTTGTGTGGTCCAGCAAGAGGCAGTGTGAAGAAAAATCTCGATCTCACTGGCAACTTTTCAGATCTCCCAATATCTTCGGCCTTTGTACAATGAAGTATATTTCTAGCAAATAACCATGTTTTATAAGATCTGGAATCTCTCGATTGATCGTTTAACCAACGTTGGGCGACTTCAGAATCCTCGTATAATTTGCTTTATAGCCCAAAGGGTTGGGAAATCCTGCTGAGTTCAACCTATATATAAGCACAGGAAGAGAATGAATGCTGTTGAAGTCGATTAACCTGGCTGTTCTAAGCATATCCTATTAAATTAAGAGCAGAAGAGTCTATATCGACACGCACGCAATTGGAGATATGCGAACACTCGGGTAGGGAGAAACATGGTCGCTTCTAAAGGTAATTTTGCTCGTTTGAATTTGCACCCTTCTTCATGGATGATGATGCATGGTGTTCTAAATCTCTCGTGTTCTAAACACGATTCATCGTGGGTGGAACCACAGGGGAAAACAGCCAGTCGTTTTCTTATGTATAAACTTGACCTTAGAAAAGCTATCAAAACAATGGTTTTTTTATATTTTCATATTATATCAATATTAGCTCATAGTTTAAACGTGGACCAGCGTCGGCAGTATATATTCCATTGTAGAGCCTCTACATAGCCCGGATCAAAAGTCAATGGAGCTATAGGGTGCCGCTCACATGATACTTGACGTTTTAAGTAAAGAATTCACCATTCTTTTCAAGATTCTGCTAAAGGCGTTACTAAGGCGAGGGAGGGGCTTTACTCAAAAGATCGAATAAATAAATTTCACCGGGGGAAAGAATCATGCGATAAAAAGACCCTAAAACAAATGGTGTCCATTGACTGTATCACACACAAAATCCGCAGCATTTACCCGATTTTCTCACGATAATGAAGGGAAGTTTTCTTACATGCAATATCATATTGTTTTGTCGTCGTCGGAAAAAAAATTCTAGAGTTTCTTTTCTTTAATTACTGCCTAATTTGCAATAAAAGGTTATATACGATATACAACCCGCGGTAAATCAAAGAAAACCTACTGGGTCGTGGAATAACTATATTTATATACCCTTCCAAACACGGCATATAAATTTTTACGGATGGCCGGTCCAAAAATTAACCCTTCGTACACGTGTAAGTTTTGGTTCAAATGTTTGACATATTATTTTTTTGGTTTAGCTCAAAGCTAGCTATAAAATATCTCGATGCATACAGATTGCTTATATAGATTTCTTGACTTCAATATATGACACTTGAAGTATGGGAATTTAACATGAATCAGTCATCTTGGTGAATATATACAGTTATAATCGACATTGCAGCTTATCTTTCAGAATTCTTAATTCGTTGCGCGTACAAGGGAAGTCGGGTAGCTATATATATGACGTATAAACTTCAAATGGACAAATTTAACTTGACAAACAAGTGTCTCATCATCAGAAGTGTTTATTTCATCTGTTTTTGGCAATGCGCCCGGCTTTTTTAAGGCTTCTCCTGCACGCTGAAATGGTAAATGGGAGTGCATTTCATTTTTTTAAATGATATGCACGTATTAGGCCACCTGCATGTCGTTCTTGCATGATTCACAATGCATGCACAAACCGAAATATCAACATGAGAGGTTCATAGTTCAATATAGGCTTGATATAGCTCAAACATATGCAATAATTCAAGGCCGAAATCTATTATAGAGAGCATAACGGAAGGTATAGCAGAGCTTATCAAAAATCGACATACATCATAGTGTAATCTAGTATAAAGTATTGCATAGCTGTGTTTGGCCTATTTAAAGCTGGTCTAGGCCTTGCTTGGAACTTTATTTTTTCAGTGTGAAATTCGGTAGGCCTCTTGCAAGAGAATCCAGACATCTCCGAACATTTGACTATGTTCATCTGTGCACAGTTAATAGAATATATATGGTTTGGAGACCACATAAAACTACGAAACAACTCATTACCTATGTTGAGGTAGATTTATCCAAAAAAGTGTTCACTTCTCATCACATGTCTATTGTATTTTGCACAGATAAACTAATAGCAATCTTATAATTCATATATTTTTCAAGTCAAGGTTGATGAGCTTAGCAAGACGCATGTCATTGGTAAATTTGGCTAAAATACAATAGACACGTGATGAGGAAGGAACCATTTTTTGCACAAACCTAAACAATAACATATAGTTAATAAGTTGTATTGTACTTTTATTTAGTCTCCAAACCATGTGTATTCTAAATAATTTAGTTTGTAGGTACACCACGTAAGTGTTAATACTGCAAAGCTTTCCCGGTACTTATGCGAAAAATCTGTGATGTTTGCGTGCATTTCCGATGAAACTGTATAATAAAACTGCAACACGTGATACAGTACCTACATTGTACACTGCAACACAATATAAAGTACATTTACTCACCTTATATAATCAAGAGCGATCACCACTCACGGCTTCCTAAATTGTTTTCCAAAAAATATTTTGACCACTCACTCCTATATATACGATGAAGTTCTTGAACGACCTTTGACTGGCCTGCATAAATTCAAAAACAAAGATCACATGTATAGCATATAAGGTTGGTAGGAACCCTAGAATATAGCAACACCGGTAGGGAATATCCTATAAGCTTTTATCCAAACAAGAGTAAATTGGTATTAGAATATAAATCTTCAAATAACCTTTCAGTACGTTATTTTGCTTGCACGAACAACCTAAATAATAAAGACAAAGATATATTACGTGTTTACCGACTTACAGGATATAAAGTTAATATAACTACTTAAACGCTATTCACAAAGGAAACAAAGTGCTTCTTTTGGATACGTCAATTTGAGTGGATTTAAATATTTAGATAAGGATATTAAACTTTTAAAACTGGGACACTCATTAGAGCACGTTTTCTGTATAGCAGGTTTAGCTATAATGAGGTTTGGAAGGTAGGAAAAGGTATAAACGAGTTTCTTTAGATTAATCAATGTTATTTTGACAATATACATGCAAGCGTATTAGGGGGTTCTTTACCTGAGGAATTCAAAAATTTCTATGACTGTTTGACGTACACCTGAATAGAATTCCTTGACATTAGCAGTGCAAGAGCGCTTTTTAAGAAAAGAATGTGGCAAATTTCTGAAATTTGCCCTTGCTTCTTTGAGAGTTATGAAAGACATATGCCGGGAAAGAAATGTATTTATAAAGATGAAAAAAAAGATGAAAATGCCACTCACCGTAACACAGATTTCTGAGTAGGTAAAAAACAAGAGATCACGTCAAATCACCTCTTCAAATAAAAACGACGGGTAATTCCATCGATGACTTCTTAACGCGATTCTCACACCTTGGCACGGATATATTGCGCGTGGTTCATACAAAGCAAAGACTTTCAATCGTGCATCGCGAGAAGCACTAAAGGCGGCCATTTTATTTTGAAGTGGATACCTTTTTATCGTGCTTGTACATTGAGGCAGGTTACGCTGCGCTCAAGATCAAACTGGGGGTGAATATTGCCAGAACCTTTGGCTATGGCAAGATTGAACAAACCAGTTTGCGGAATGCATAACTCGAATTTCCGATGTCTCCCACACGATTGTGGGTGGAAAAGCTTTAATTGTGAAAGCAAAGATTTAACCCACGCGCGGTTTGTGGGATTCTACAGCCCTCATGAAGAACCAAAAATATCACCGTTGTAAAGTATTTTAATAAAACACAGAACAGTGGATGCTCTGTGGATTGGTAGCACAAATTCTCAAAAGAAAATACACCTGAACCGATTTTCTTGAGCGTCATATGTTCTGTGTTTTATCCAGTAGTTTGAATTAAATAGTTTTGTATATATTTCCTGCCTTAGTCGGTGAGCTGCACGAGTGTCCCTTGTTACTACCTTGAAACCTGCATCATACCTTTCACACCTGGAAAATGAAAATCGTATCCTGTATTGACACTTGTCTCATAAAGAACTGGATGGATGTAGCAACTATACGGCTACTATTTATTGTAATGTTAGGCCCGTAGCATTATGTTCTATATCAATCTCTTCAAGTTGTCTAGCGTTGACAAACTAGTGACGCCCGTATAAGATAGTATTTTTCTCAGTACTGGATCTCCGGAAGCACATCCAGTGTATCATGAGATCAGTTAAGATCATCTGCCGGTATCTTACTGGAGAAAATCAAGTTTAAAAATGCCCGTTGTAAGCCAAAGGACAAAACCTTTAACCAATTATGGTAGCAAGAAGCTGTTCCTTACTCTTTACTCCGTATTAACATTGGACGCTTTTTTGTCAGAAAAAAAGTACGCCAAGTAAACGGAGTAAAAAAATATCGGGCTGGGTGTTCGAAACAGTGGTGCATGAAGTCATCCATTAATTTCAACCCGCATAAAAATGCTTTCAAAAGCTATAGACTTGAAAATTGCTAAGTGCTAAATTGCTTGGAAACGTTTGAAAAAATCACTATCCAGTGGGTATCTTTATCCGTGTTTCAAACATCCGGCCCCTACTGGCGTCTAGTCCTAACCTGTCAATGCGCATAACGTCCGGGTTTAAGGGTTAGAAGCTGAGTGGATAACAAGTTAATTGGATTGACAGGAAGAAACGCGTATACATGATTCTTCTTGCCTGGATCAAAATTTTGTCTATATCTGGAATCAACCATTACTACAGTATCAACTCAACTTACTATGGAAATCAATCTTCTCCACGATATTCTTAGACTTGATATGTTCTTGATTGCAAATAAATACTTTGCCATCAGCATGCACGCTCCATCCACGAGAGGTTATCCACGCCTGAAGCTCGTTGCCTTCAAGACCACCCAGCAAATCAGACAATAGCTGACTGTCTATATTCTGATATGTTGTGCTTAATACACCACTGATGTCTACAGGAAGAGAATTCAGTGATTTTCAAGAAATGCTCTTATACCAATGCCTTTCTTGGTTTGGGGTTTGGCAAAATACTTGTGAGTTGTGAGCGGAAATTTTTATGTCTACTTGTGTAAGGTTTGTTCACGAGACCTAATTTTATCAGATTAAATATTCACCTCTAAAAACCATGACCAGCTGATAATTTAAAAAAGTAAAGTGGAAAACAAATTCCAAATAAACAGGACATCTTCAATGAGAGTCAAAAAATTACTCAGACAAGATACAGGTTGAGACTGTAAATTTTTGACTTTATTTCAAATTCATCTGCAGACAGAATATATCTTCATTCTTACTGAAGAAGACTTTGAAATAAAGTTTTACTTCATTCACCTCTGATAAATGTTTCAGAGCCTGTTGAATTGCAATGCTTATCCAATTACGGCAAACCAAGTGCTGCTATAAACAGACTATGTTCTATATATCAGAACCTTATTGAATGTGACAAAAATGGATATTGTAAGTAGACATTTGCACTATGATTAGTTGCATGTGATTGTCATCACATATGCCAGGGTAAGACTAATCCCATATTGTAGATTGGCATTAGTAGAATTACATGCAAAAGACAAATTCTACCTACACAACATCAGAGCTTCCTCAAATCCTTTCACACCAGCAATAAGTTCTGGGCATTCATTTCGGATCTCATGCTAAAATTTTAAATTTAGGGATTATCTTTACAGTAGAACTAAATATCTAGCAATTTTTTCAGTGGTCTTGGGGGAAGACTCAAGGCACCAATCTTTAGTCATCTTTGAGGCTGCAGTATACATTAACATCTATATCTAAAGTACAGTTATCAGTGTCTCACAGTTATAATGTCTATACCATTCCATTTACTGAGACTAAGACTTACCCAGAAATCTTTAAAGTGACAAGTCTCCATCAAGTCAGACAGATATAGAACTTTTTCAATGGATTTATCATGCTGAAGTAATTACAGTTAAGAAATCAAATAATAGTTATAAAATGCTTTTGAGAGTGTCCTAATTATAAAGTAAGAAAATTTGATTTTGGGCTTGACTGCTGCAGTATATTTATCTAATTTGTGAATCTCCTCCAGTTAGTACACAGGGATCAATGGATAGTTTTGAGGGCATCACTACCATAGCTAATGTTGTTCACTCATTCAAAACAAAGGATACAGAATAATTCTCATCGATCAAGCACTTGCACAGGTAAAAGTCTGTCCGAGGAAGGTTCATTAGTGCCTTCAGTAATATCTGCACCACAAAATTAGTCTGACGCAGCTGTGGGTTGAACTGGTACAACTTGAGAACAGCTAAATTAGCATCCAGATCATATCGATTTTCGGACACCTAAAAAAATGTTAATAATACACACTTAGGATACTGTATGATCATCTAATGATTTAGAGTGGTTATAATGACCATAATGCTTGATGACTTGCATTCAATAATTGAACCAATCTTAAATAATCATAAGTGCCCATGTTTTCCATTAGGCAAATTTATTTACAACAAACTTGTCAGTCATTTCAATTTTATCATTTAGATGCTGCCTGACCAATTAAAATATGAACTATTTTGACCAGTAGTAGATCATGGCCTCAGTCACCGTTGATAAAGCTATATCTTAAACATGTGAGCTATGAAGTAGCTCCAATTCCTCCAAATGGCACTGTAGAACATGAATTATAGTCATTACGCCATAATTTATTAACTACAACCACTATTAATACATGTATACCAATACTTCTACCTGTAGTTGTACATAGGCTTCGAGTTGCTGCAAATTCTCTGGGTTATACCTATAAAAACCACCAAAATAGACTTCTTCAAAATACACGTTGTCGATGAACTGAAACTTTCGACCCGTAAGACTAAGGTAATAAAACTGTTTTTACACAAATCGGGTATGTATAATTGCCCGTTGTAATCATAAGTTCATGCTAAAATGTTTCTCACCGATTTATTCCTTGTAAAATGTGAGAAATGTCCTCTTGTGTGTCCTCAAAATCTTCCTCAAATTGATCATCCATTTTGAAAATGACGGTACATTCAAGCAGTCGAGACCTGGTCGGGACCTTCCGGAGAAAATTTCGCGGCGGCTGATCACGACAGTTTCCGAGACTAAACTCCAAGGGCGGAATGGGGATATGGGGAAACTCTAGTTTTCCCCGTTTAATTTCCGGTCCCCTAATTCAGTCTGCGAGCAGACATGCTAGTTTCTAACAAAAAAATGCTTCAAACTTGCTAGTTTCTAACAAAAAAATGCTACCGAAGTAAATTTTTCGAAGTAAATTCCCAGCGATATCTGGAAATCCCCAGAGTCAGTCTGGAAATTCCCGTAAACCTTGGGGAATTCCCATGTGTTAACGAGAATTTGAACGTTCAATCACTGCTCTTGACCAATCACACGGTCACACGATCATATAAAATGACGTCCCATTTAAAATAAAATGAAGATTTGGAAAACAGCAAGCAAGCATTTTAAAAAGATGTCAAATGTATACACTGAAGACGAGTTGAGGTACTTTAGATTAACTAAAGCTGTTATCAACTATTCTCCTGAAGCGTTAAGAAGAGTTTTTATGCAAGAATGGAACCGTCTTTATCGTCCATGGAAAAATGATGCAGCTAGTGGATTACAGATTCTTGCCAAAGAACCATTTTCATCGCGTTTGAATGATCCAAATTACGAGAAAGGTTTTCAACACATAAAAGACAATTTGCGACGTGGAGATGTGCAGGAATGGGACATAACAACGCTGAACTTTGCTTTGCTCCACTCCCACTCTTTAAACAGTATACGGGGCCGCTGGTACTGGAGAAGGATAAAGAAAGCTACACATGCCATAACAGACGTCAGAAACACAGTGTTTGCACATCGTCACAAAGCGTCAATTGATTACAACAATTTTTCAAGTACCTTCGAAACTTTAGAACAAGCCATGAAAGACTTGTTATCAACGTCAGATCCTTTGGTTGAAAAATTAAAAGCGCTAAAAGGAGAAACTGAATTCGTAACAGAAGATCTTGTCGAGTGTAGAAAAATGCTTGAGGAAGCCAGGGTTTTAAAGCCTGCGAACGAGGTTGGCTCTGTTGACGCAGAACCGGAGCGCTTTAAACCAACAATTTACAAGAGTAAGAAATATATTTGTTTGATGAATGAATCATGTGCTATGGTATGCAATTTTCGTTGGGACAAAGTTAACAATTTTCTTCAAGGATTCAACGATAGTATGGATATACAGATATATGCTGGTATTCAAAAGGCTGTATCGCTGAGTTCTCAGTCAAAGAAGGACGAAAGTTTTGAAATTCTCAATTCTTTGACTTCAAAGGCTAATTCGGCCGAACATTGGGGGTAAGTATAGAATTGTATCATTCCTTGCTACGTAATTAATTATGGCTTAACTACGTCAATTTTTTCTGAATATGCTGCAATCAGTATTTCAATACTAGTTTTAATTGTTTTCCATCAGAACCTCTCGGACCTAAATTCGGGTATAAAAGGCCCGCATAATGTTACTGGCCCTACTGGGCTTACTTAGCTACGTTTTGTCACTGCTTCTTTAGGGTCATACTGATTGCGCGAATAAAAATTGTCAAGGCATGGATTTTACATGATCGTGGAAATGATGATAGAGCTATGTATGAAGTGGACGATGCGGAGATGACGTTATCCTCCGGAGAGTGCCCCGAAGATCAAGCTGAAATTCACTACACGAAAGCCAATATCCTCGTATCGTCAGCGGCAAACAGCCCGAAAGACCGCAAACGTATTTTGTTCCACTATGATACATGTATTGAACTTTGCGAGAAAGCTACCGTGGACAAAAGTATCATAATCAAGCACGCCAAACTGCGGAAGGCGCTTTTCCATCTTGGTTATTACGAGAATGGTATCTTAGAAGAAGCACCAAATCCCTCAGAGGTTAAAACAGCAGAGAACATTTTGACCAGTCTTGCTAAGCAGCCTAATCTGACAGAAAGAAACAAAATGTTCTTGATGTATGGTCAATCCTTGCTCGCTTTTCGGAAGGGGGAAGCAGGCATGGCGACAAAATTAGAGCACAAGCTACGACAAAAATGTGAACATTATCAAATAAGTTTTGAGATCAAGAAACTAGATGTGTTGCGAACATTGTTACGAGGTTGACCAAAAAATGCGATCAGTTCTAAAACCTATACTAAGTGTTTTGATCAAAAGGAAAAACTTTTTTCTTTTTTCTTTTTCCGAAAAATTACTAAAAAAATCTTAATTAATAACAGAAAAAAAACTCACTAATAAAAGAAAGAAACATGCCCGGAAAACCACATCTTGTAAACTCAGGACACAAGTTATAAAAATAAGACACCAATTTTGCAGTGATACATATTTGAGTATATTTCAGAAGTCATTCTTAAACCAACCCTTTGATTAGATCAAAGTTTAAGATGTTTCAATACTGATTCCATGAATTGAAAAGGCCATTTTCCATATGTGCCTTCATGAATTGCATCAGACAAAATTGGATTGTGTGAAAAGACTACACGGATGATTATAACTTCTGGTCAGAGTAGTCTAAATGTTAAATGACTTGTATTCAACAGTATGATCAGTGTGTACTATCACCAAAAGGATTATAGTCATTATACCATATAGGCAGCCTAAACACTAATACAATATCTGTATTAGTGTTTAGGCTGCCTATATGGTATAGGTCTATGATAAGGTCTGTTCACACGATCCAATTTGTTGGATTCAATTCACTTCTAACGTATGGAATATAGTCAGGTATTGATACAGTACTGCATTGGCTTCAGCGGATTTGCTGCTCAAAAACATTACAAGGCAACAGAATATAAAGATCAGAAGTGAATTAGCCTTTCTCACGATGACGAATATGTCGCCATTTTTGGAGTACTTTTTTCAAAAACCGGGAGCGTATTAAAGACTTGGTAACGGCGACTGTCTTTAATTTTAAGCTGAATTTATTCTTCAAATGGTCTGTTTATTCTAAAAAAATTGCTTTGATGTTTAAACCTAATTTTTAAACCCATTTCAGAAAATTGAGAGTACCCCAAAACGTCATCGTGAGAAAGGCTAATTGGATCCAACAAAACTGGATCGTTGTGCGCCCATAAAACTAGAAGACTATTAGACTATAAATATAGACTAATATATACTAATATAGATTTATTTATAAGACTAATACGGCTGTTTTAAACGCAATTAAACTGTTTCTTACCGACTAATTCCAAGAAAATATAAGAGATTTCCTCTTGCGCGTCCTCAAAATCTTACTCAAATAATTTATGATCATCCATTTTGAAATGAAGGTAAATTGAAGCAGTCGGGACTTGTCGTGAACATCCGGAGGTTTCTAAATTTTCTAAAATAATGCATAAAAACAAAATAATCAAACTTACTAAGAAAAGAAAACAACCCCATATTACTTAAATAATGTAATTTCGCCTTGTTTGACAAATATGAATCATATTTAAAAAGAAATATTTCTGTTCTTTACTAGACTATCTTTTCAGGGAGATAACGGCGGGTGATCACGACAATCACGACAGTTTCCGAAAGCAGGCTCCCTTTCTTTTTTGTTAAATTTTAATGCCGAAGTTAGTAACATGGCGCTTTATTCTAAAAAGCTTTTCCTATTGTTCGTGCTACTAAATATTACGATAATCCGCGCAGAGAACGCAGAGGAAAGCGTGGAAGAGCCTACGGAAAATAGCCACACGGAGAAGCCAACAGAAGCGAACGAGGTTAATCCCGAAGAGGCACCCCGAACAGACGAGTCTCGTGAGCATGCCAGTGGCTCAATATGCGGGTATTGTTCCTATTGCAAGGTAAACAAACGAAATATCGAGTAATATCGAAACGTTTCATGTATCTGAGTGCCCTGTACTTTCGTATTTAAAGAAATTGACAGAATATTAGTGATAAAAAAGGCGTAGTATTTTAAACTACCATTGCAACATTTCATTTCCGGTGTCCGTCCTTGATTGACCTCCTTCATGGATGTACGGGGTTGGAACGTTTTTGGTATAACTTGGGGGAAGGGGGAAACAAAAAGTTTGGGATACCCAGCCTGTGGTTATTGATATATCTTTTGACATTTTCTTTGATATTTTTAGTTTTGTAAGTTGTGCGATAAAGATTGCCCATGTGAGAAAAGTAAATCAAAACCAAACTGTCACTTATGCAAGGTAAACTAAAATTTATTTACCTGGTAAATGCTTCCAAGGAATGTTGTTCAAGACTGTTGCAAGAGTTCTACAAGCCTTTGAGTAATTCACATTTGCACAGAAGCCATATGCAATAATTGTCTTACTTTCATTTCTAGTATTGCAAATATTGCTATTTATGTTCAGCCATATGCGAAACTGTCTGTCTCCCAGGTAAGACAAGTCATTTGCTGCTTAAAACATTTATCGATAGATACCATAGTCATTCTCAAATTCTCTCTGTTTTGTTTTAAGGTGGCTTTGTAGATACAGTTTCATCTGCCCTTTGGAAGTAGGTTTCTAACTTTGTGTCTAAGTTAAGTCAGTAAAGTGTTAAACCTGATAAAGTAGGGTGGACTTGGTGTTCATATACACTGAATAGCAAAATCATCTTTTTTTATAATCAAAAATCTACTATACTACTTTATCTAGTTCACTGCCAACATTTGATAGCAAAATGAAAGAGTCTGTAGACAAGGACATAGAGTCGGCTAAAGATTGGATCAAAGATTACTTGTAGGTTTTGAACATTTCGAAGAAGATAGAAATCTTGTAATTATGACACTTTAATGTGATATTTATGATTTAATAAAAAAATTTTAAATAACATATGTTTTATTTGATTTAGTTCAAGTGTTATATTATAACCGAACAATCTAGGTGAACTTAGAGTATCACTAGTTAATAAGATTGAAAAAACACTTCATGTCACACAAGACAAAACAGTATTCAGTAATGATTCAGTATTTCATTATTATTTTAATATATATTTACATTGATACCAAACAAATAAGCCACATAATCCAGCAATTATATCACACTTTTACTTCACCTTTCTGGTTGATTTTGGCTTCGACTCTCTTACAATCTTAAAGTCTGTGAAATCAAGTTTGCTAATGCTTCTCTCATTGGTAAATTCACAATTTGTAATGGTTGATTTAGGGCTGCCTTTGGTTGATAACCATACCTTCCTATAATAATGAAAATGTGTAGCCTACATAATACCATACCAACCAATAATTTTAGAAGGGGTCCATATGGTATTCACCATGGAACATAAATCCTAACTAAACACTAATCAAAACCTAATCCTAATAGCAAACGGATTATCATATCTTAATCATACCTGAATTATGGTGATTGGACTGGATTAAATTAAACACTTTAAATAATACTTACATTTGATCAATGCCTTGTTTTTCGCCTTGTATCTGCCCAACAACAGTAGACACTCTTGTGTTTTTCACCCAGCCAACTAAGCCATATTCCTTGCTTTTCTTTTCCGTCCACTGTAAAGCACAATGGAGAATAATAGCTTGTCGTCATGTCAACTGAAATTTTTTATATCAACCATCAGTCAAAAACACACCTTTCTGAAGAAAACTCCTACAGAAATGAACATAAACAAGGTTAGTTAATAAACAACCGGAATACTGTAAAAATATTTCATAAAATTCATCGCCTAAATACCTTGAACGTTGCCAAAAACTTCGAAATCAATTGCTAAAAGTCTTCTGGCATTTGAAGCCGCCGCCATAATGGCATGGCATTTATTTCGCCGACAAAATCTTCCAGATAAAAATGTCAATGACTCAAGGATTGAAGTCCCCCCCCTGCAACCGAGTACATGCAGTAACGCTAGGGGGGAGTTCTTCAGTATATTTTCAATTTTTCATAGAGATTATTATAGATTTTATTCTCTTATCTGAGAATTCAAGAGTGGTCGTCATTCGTTGGCGATAAAAACCAATCTCTCTAAAAATTTGACTATTGGCAATACTAAAGTTTACAGTATTTATACATTTACAAATTCACGATTAACATTCAGTGGTGGTCTTGCATTGAGATGATGCATTCAGCAAACAGTGCAAGGCTGTTTATTGGCTGAATTACTGGCTTTATCCATATCTCCCAGATCTCAAACTTGCATCATCACACATTGCTCCTCATGGCAACTGTAGAGGAAGATTATGGGTACTTTCATATTTTCTTTTTCCTCGAAAATTTTATCACATACATATGGAACATGCCGTCGGTGTTTGATCTGCTTTAACTGTTCACAAATCATCTTAACACTTGCGTTGAATTTATTTTTGCTATTGCTGTCGCTGAGGTCCAGTGACACTGCTATACTTTTCAAAACAGATACTGGCAGGTCGACCTATTTGGGACGATAAACGATTAGCAATGAATAATATCAACTTTGGTAGATTTGGTAGAAACTAAGATGGTTTATTGTAGAATACTACCTACACTGGACCACTACGGTTGAGATATCTTTTTCAGGTAGTTTAGACAACCATGACAGTTTATTGTAGAATAAACCACGTTTGAGATATCTTTGATGCTAACTGTCTCAGTTTTCTATGGAAAGTCGAAACGAGGAGATATGGTATAATCCTTTTTAAACTTACCCCAATGATACAATAGGAGTTTTTATTACCCCCAAAACTCTGCAACATGTTTGTGACTTTAGATTTCATATGAGATTCGTATCTTCTCTTAGTGTTTTTCTCCAATTTCTCTTGCGTCACGAAATCAATATTGAACTTCGGCTGTGCTTGGGTATTACTCTCGTTGGAGGTTGTCGCTGCTTTGTGGACCGGGGGGTCACGGTCGCTGTTTTCAGTCGGTTCCTGATATTTCAGCTTTAGATATTCAACAGGATCTTCGATCCCCTTGATTTCCTTATCTTTTTCAACAATTCGTATCTTTATCAGGCAAAGAGATAGAAATATGCTGGACACTTTAAATACAAACTTAGAATAAACTATGGGTCAAATTAGGAGAATGAAGATGGATATAAACGATTCTCAAAAAAACTGCCTTGGCACCCAAATCTACAGTTCGATTGCTGCTAGAAGTTTTGAGTTCCATTTGGAAACATTCCTCGTTCGATCTTAGAATCGTCCCCCTGACTATAGAGGGTTCCCAAAGCTAGAAGTACCCCATTTGAAATCAAGAAAGCGAATACCCTGGGAAGGAGGTTGCTGGGTTGGGATGTTTTTTAGTTTTCATGATAGAAAGGTATTCGAATTCAAACATTTTAAAGAGGGTACTTTTCTTGAGACACCCTGAATTAACACCGTTTAGCTTACTATTGTAGGTGCTTTTTCCTCCACAATAAGCATATACTGTATTCCACACTCTTTGCAGTAAGCCTGCGTATAATCTAACATCTCATCGGTAAGCATCTCGTACGAAATACTTGCAGAGATTCCTAGTTGATTTCTCAAGGCGACCACCAAGTCACTACGTTCCTTCAGCATCGGGTTTTCCCCGACGGCGCAGACCATTACGTCACATGTATTGAGGATGACGTCATCGAGTTCCTGCATCGCCGATTGGATGATTCGTTCGACGTTGATGCTGACGCCCACCGCGCCATATCCCGCGGGAAGCTCGCGAACACCTGAGAATATGGATATGAGTTTGTCGTTGCGACCTCCGGCGGCAAGAATATCGAAGGCTTTTGCCTTTCCCTTCTTCTCGGCGACAAACTGGAACAATGCTCCAGACATGTACTGGATGTTGTAAACAAGACTGGGATACAGATTAACCTGGAGTGTCAAACCTGGAACAAAGGATTTAGAATATGAAATACCAGCATCATGATGCATCAGCTTGGAATTATTCTCACTATTAACTATAGAGTCTGGTAAACTGAACCCATCTGTCAAGCACTGACTTGCAAACCTACGTTTACGATATAAACCTACCCAGACGTTTGGCGTGCTTCACAATTTTTTCCAACTCTTGAAGAGCGTTTGATATCTTATGACTGGCCGTGCGTGGGCCACGAGCCATGTGTCCGAGTGATGATCTCGCTATATCCAATGGAGTCTCCATCAGCAACCATCTGCATATGTTTAAAACATCTTCCTCAGAAAAAGATGAACTTAGCAAGAATCTCTTCAACTGTTGCAGGCGGTCCACTTCGCCCTTGGATTCTTGTAAAAGAGAAATAATTTCTAGAATTTTATCCTCCGATATTCCATTCATCGCCAGAATGGATCTTGTCAAGACTGCGTGGTTTATTCGTACATAGTAATTCCGTGAAACGAGCGACGGAAAATCGCTGATAATTTTCCCGACTGTGTACAGTATTTCAGCATCCGGCACAAGATCGCACGGGGAGCTCGTGGCGATGTCGATGACACACTCGGAATGCTCTCGTGGATGCACGCCGAGTATTCGTGCATCTCGGTAGACGTTGCTTATGGAATACCTTTTGACGGGCGGGAAATTATTCCTTGCAAGGTAACGTGCGAATGAAGTTCTCAAGTCATACGGAAGGGTTAAGATTGCACCGCTATGATCCATGACGACTACCGAGGTCTCAGAATGCTTATAAACCTTATTCTTTGGAATGAGTAAAGGGGTGTTTAGCATGTGAAAGCCATGCTGTAGGAAGATACCTTCCAGCTTGTGATTTACCAGCTGTTTAACCACAGCGTGTTTGCCACTGAACTGTGCCTTGATGATCTCATAATCGTAGGTTAAGTCTAGTTTATTCTGCGCGATTTCCTGGTTCATTACGTAAGAGATCAGCGTGCGATAGCGAGTGGAGTTTGTGGTGGCGAGAGTGTGGTTAAGGATTTCCTCCAGTTCGTTATCTTCGATGTTGGGTGGAATGTGTTGGCTTTTTAAGAGCTCTTGTGAGGTGGGTCGCTCGTCTGGGTTGTGGTGGAGAAGCCAGCGAATGATCACAGCTTGTTTCTTGAGGCGTTCTTCCTCATTAAACTCCTTCGGCAGCAGAATCTTCTCCTGGTTGATATGAATGAAAAAGGATTGGTACATAGTAATTATAGATGAGTGGTTGCATTCATAAAAGTAAAGTAGGGTGAGGTAAGGTGAGGTAAGGTGAGGTAAGGTGAGGTGAGGTGAGGTAAGGTAAGATAAGGTAAAGAAAGGTAGGTTGAGGTAAGGGGAGGGGAGATGGGGTGAGATGAGGTGAGGTGAGGTAAAGAAAGGTTGGTTGAGGTAAAGAGAGATGAGGTGAGGTAAGGTAAGATAAAGAAAAGTAGCTTGAGGTAAGGGGAGATGAAGTGAGGAAAGGAAAGGTGAGGGGAGATGAAATGAGATAAGATCAGGTGCTAGACAGAGAAGTGGGAGATAAAGATGACTAAAAAAAATAAATTAAAACACCAAATACAATTTATAACTTACCGTTCGTAGATCCCCAAGAATCTTTACTCTTTCCATCGTTGTTTCCAAAGGCTTGTAACACATCTCAAAGAATATAATCCCTAGGCTGTACAAATCAACTTTCGCAGTATACCTGAACAATTGAAAATGTAAGAAAGTCAATCCTGTTAAGTAAAGTTATTCTGGACACTATGAGACGACGTCTCAGAAGAAAGCAATTTTTGAGCTAGTGGGAGTCTCTCCCGTGATGACATTCCTCGGAAAAACAGTTCAAGTCACACCTTGTCATCCTGAACGCGTTTCCAAGCTCTGGACTGACATACAATGCGGTGCCAACTTTACCAGTGAGTGACTCATGTGATGGTGCGTTGTCAGTCTCAACTTTATTAGTGACGCCTTGTGTACCACTGGTACTACCAGCCACGGGAACCGTGAACGGGTGGATGGTCGCCAGGCCGAAATCTCCAATCTTCACGCGATCGTTGGAATCGAGGAAAATATTAACAGGTTTCAAATCACGATGAATCATTCCCTGGTGTATAAAAAGAGTCAAATCAAAGTGAAAGAATAGTCAAAATAATCAAATCTATCAAAGGAGTCTACCTGGGAATGGACATGAACTAAACCTTCCACTATTTCGCGAAGTAATCGCCAAATTCTTTGTTGATTTTTATACAGCCCCTCATCAATCACACTTCTCAGAGTGCTCTTCTCACAGAACTCCATCTGAATGTACAGACATTGTAATTGAGGCTTTGAATCTTGACTTGACTCAGTCGGCGATGTCTCTTCCTCACTTTCAAAATCTGATTCTTCTTCCTACATAAGTGATAATGTTGATATGTCAGCAAATACGCTCTGTATTGTAATCATAATTATAATGGCATGTCATAATGGTAATAGTAATTTAAAATCGGGTCAATTTCATGTGGACAATCTAATAAAGTTAATCTTAATCCTAAAATAAATCAAATCTAATTTTAAGCAGGAGACTAATCCAAAGCCTAGTCCAACCCTTAGGCCTGACCTTATGCAATACAGGAATAATTTTTGGACATTAATATGAAAGTGTCTCATATTTTATTATTGATAGTGGAAATGATGTTACCTACCACATCAGCGAGAGAACAACTGCGAAATTGTATGAGTGACTCTTCCATTGTGTTCCATGTAAACATAATATCCTCAGACGACTCTCTCAGAAGAATTTCTTCTTCATCACTGGAACTGGAGGAACTGCTCTCTTCTGGCTGTTCAATGTTTCCACTCAGCCAAGAACCATCATCCTCGATGCTGGCTCGAATACTGGGTGCTTCCACATCATTCATTTTCATCAAACTATCCTCGATTGTAGACGGTTTTTGTCTTGCTTCAGGAACGCTAGATTTTGTCTCACTGCTCGAACTATCGCCATCCTGCGCTTCCTCCACCTCGATCCACGAATTGTAGTATCTGGAAAAGACCAACTGACAGGTTTAGATTACTGCATGTGTCAAACAGTTCTCAATGGTTCCATACTGGATATACTTCAGAATTATCAACTGAACTAACTTAAAAAGACAGTTCTATCAGATGCGAACTGTTTTTTCTGAAGGTCCAGTAAGGATCGTCTCTTATTGACCCAGTTTTACAACAAAAGAAAACCTGACTTATTACATTGAATATGGATGTGAAATGGATGTGAACAAGTGAAATAGTTACTGATATTCAAGTAAGAGTTCTAAAACGTCAGAGCACTCGTAACTAATTACTCGTTCACATCTATCAAAAGAAGAAAATCGCAGCAAAAACCGCAAGGTAAACGGGCCTTACCTGACAATATTTTCGTGATTCAGTCGAGACAACAGCTTAACTTCTCTTGTTATTTTTCGATTAAACTGAACACTTTTCGGATTTAGCGGGACTCTTTTGATTGCATAAAAACACCCGTCGAGTTTATTTTTCACCTATAAATTCAACAAATTGACATTATCATATCATATTCCACTTTGGATCAATAGGCCTCAACTTGACTTACAAAACCAAGTGCATTACAAATAATTCTAGCTTTTAGCGACTGCATTTACAACAGCTTACCTTCACAACAGACCCAAATCCTCCTTTCCCAAGCCACTGTAGGACTTCAAACTCGTTTCTCACTCGAGAATTTCCAACAACACTCGCACGCAAGAACGGAATTTCTCTGACAGAGTTATCGGCGTAGTTTCCGGTATCATTGACTTGACACGACTGATTTTTGTCACTCTCCATCCCATTTGGAATGACATTATTTGCCAAGCTGCTCACAAATGTGGAGGGAGCAATAAAGGAATGGTTGAGGAGCTGGGCTGCTGACAATTGCTCGCCACTGTCGGGGTATAGACATCTGTTGAAAGGGTTGAGAAGGAGGGTTAGAATGGGAAATGCCAGGGGGAGTTAGAATGGAAGAAGTAGGGAAGTATAGGGAAGGATAGGGAAGGATGGGAAAGGCGATGGAGAAGTAAAAATGGAAGAGGTAGGGAAAAATAGAAAGAATGGGAGGGACGATGGGGAAGTAAAAATGGAAGAGGTAGGGAAGATTAGGGAAGCAGATGTAGGGAAGGATAGGGGAGGGAGGGGAAATAGAAGAAGTAAAGAAGTGGGGAAAGTTAGTTGATAGTTGATGATGAATGAAGCGGGTGGTAGGAGTGAGGAAGGGGAAGGTAAGACTGCAAATAGAGGGGTAAAAAATAATAGGTGGGGGGAGTGAAAAAAGTAAAGAAAGGAGAGATGAGAGAGAAAAAGGAAGAAAGGAAGAGGGATAAGAAAAATAGGAACAGGGATATACTGATGATCAGTCGGCATACATTACCTGGCGAAGAAATCCTGAAGTTCACATGGAAATGATTGAGGGATTGAGGGAGGAGCGGAATTGACAACATCACCTTCTAGTAATGACAACATCAGAAGACCCTTAAATTGAAGACAATTATAACATGAATTCCTCATATAACACAACGTTTCCAATGAAAAATGAATGCCTACCAAATTCACGATGTCTCTTCGCTTAGTAGACCTTTGGGAACTCTTTGCTTCATTCGCATTCACTTTTTTCGATAACTTTTTTTCACCGTAAACTTGATAAAGGTCGCGTAATCTAAACAAGGAAGCAAAAACAGGAAATCATGTCAACAGAACTATGATTCACCTTACAAAGGCCTTTACAACGTACGTAACGCCGAGAAGTTGTTCTTTTGCGTATTTTGAGGCAGTTAACTTATTTACTACCTGTGGCAAAAAACTGGCCATTACTGCAGTACCCCTACGATACATACCTTCTGCCAACACTGTAGTCTGCAAGTCTTATTGTTTTATTTTGATCCAGGAACACGCTGGATAACTAAATAATTGGGAAATATTGAAGAAATAAGACAACTAAATCATAGAATACATTGGTTACACACACTGACCTATACTAGATATAGGTAATTTAGGTCAGTGGTTACATTAGATGAAGCTCGGAAACTATCTCACAGACGAGACATCTCCAGTACCTATTTTCTGCTAAAATATAAACTACTGTATCATGTTTCTATCTGAACTGATAAACCCATAATATAATCGAATCGGATAAATTTTGCAGGTAGAAATCAGTTTCTATATATCGAAAAAATGTTTGGTTGATGGTACCGATTACTTTTGGATAATCTGTTTGCCATCACAGAATTTTGAACATCTTGACCAGAAATGGTTGTAAGTGGAGGAAATATTTGATATTGAAATCGACTCACCCTGATGTCTTTATGTACAATAGATTTTCCATGAAGGTATGCCAAAACCTCCAGTAACTGCTGTGCATAATCTCGTACGATTTCAACTCCAAGACCGCCGGAAAGAAGTTCTTTCATCAGAGAAGCCCCAGCCACAAATTCTGTCAAAATCTACATAAATCATTAAAGTAAAGATCAAATAATGTGTGAAGAGGTTTGAAGAGCTCTAGCTATCGTGCAAACTGTTCATCCTAGAGGTCCAGTTAGGATCATGTCTTATTAATCCAGTGTTACTGCAGGAGGAAACCTGACCTAAACTAACTTTATTTATACTGGATAGCTCTATCAGTTCTAAACTGTTCTTCCTAGAGGTCCAGTAAGGATCATGTCTTATTGATCTAGTGTTACTACAGGAGGAAACCCAAACTAAACTAACTTTATTCATACTGGATAGCTCTATCAGTTCTAAACTGTTCTTCCTAGAGGTCCAGTAAGGATCATCTCTTATTGATCCAGTGTTATTACAGGAGGAAACCCAAACTAAACTAACTTTATTTATACTGGATAGCTCTATCAGTTCTAAACTGTTCTTCCTAGAGGTCCAGTAAGGATCATGTCTTATTGATCTAGTGTTACTACAGGAAGAAACCAAAACTAAACTAACTTTATTTATACTGGATAGCTCTATCAGTTCTAAACTGTTCTTCCTAGAGGTACAGTAAGGATCATCTCTTATTGATCCAGTGTTACTACAGGAGGAAACCTAAACTAAATTAACTTATTTGAACTTGGTATAATATTAAGATACAACATACTTGCAATGTTAGCGTGTTTTCTTTGCGCACTTGCGTTGTTCCAAGATAATGGACGAGATTATGATGACTGACTCTAGTAATCAACGAGTTTATTTCCTGTTCTATACTGGCAACCTTGAAAAATACGACAAAACTATGTTAATATTGACTGTGGAAAGAGGCAACGTGATTTTGGGTTTGAAAAAGCTCAAAACGGTGACAATTAACAAGAAACTACCAAACCAAGAGACGTGGTCACTATTTGGTCGCTCAAATGACCATAAAGCATGCATATTGTAACAGCCTGCAAGACAAATACTGGGACACAGCTGTGTTATCCCAAATGTGCAGAGTGGATAATGACCTGTTTCAATAGTTTTTCATCCTCAATTTTCGCCCTGTCATAGCTTGGCCGTTTTTGTACAGTCTGACTCTTGAAGCTCCATTCAGACATCGCCACCATACCGCCAGTAACGATATCCAGACCACAGAAAACTGTAGAACCATATTGACCAGACCCTAGAGACACAAAATGCAATCAAGACCAAACAAGTTCTGGCGAGGATGTTAAAGAGTTTCCCTCACCTAAACACTTGCCACAATGAACAATATGCTGTTTCTTGTTCTCAAACGTGACAACCCGTAAACCGTCGTAAGGCACGACATCTTCGGAGCTGCTCTTTCTCTTGATACGTTCCCGCGCTGGTTTATCTTCTGATTTCTCCAAAACTGATTCAGAAACAGTTTGAGAGAGCAATTCCACCCTGAGATTTTCTTTATCCTTAAAAAAATTAATATGCAATGAAACCTAAGGAAACGTAAGGAGTTTCTGTTCTAAACACAGTCCTACCTGGAGGTCCAGTAAAGATAATCTCTTATTGATTCAGTGTTACTACAGGAGGAAACCTAAACTAACTTTATTTAAACTGGATAACTCCATAAGTTTGAAATTGTTCTTCCTAGAGGTCCATAACTCCATAAGCTTGAAATTATTCTTCCTAGAGGTCCAGTAAGGATCATCTCTTATTGATCCAGTGTTACTACAGAAGGCAACCTAAACTAACTTTATTTATACTGGATAACTCCATAAGTTTGAAATTGTTCTTCCTAGAGGTTCAATTTCACAAGTGAATAGCATGCAGAACAAACTTCACACCTTAAGACTTTGTCTTTTCAGATTCTTTAAAGCCTCGTCCCTTCTCATCATTTCCTCTCTGATTTGTTGCTCCTGTATTAGAAAGAAAATTTAGACAGGTGTTTGTATTTAACTCATTTGTCTGTAACTACAAACTCAACAGGCCATTTCCCACATTTTACCAAACTTTACAAGCAAACATTGCAGTTTTACTGTTCTAAGAACTCTTCTAGTTGTGGCTGAGAATTTCACTCTTCTTAAATCATTAGATCAATTTCCAACATTTGGAATCACTCATTTCCCAACCTCTTCTTCAACTTGAATAACTTTTGCTTGTCTTTCCTTCTCTTTCTTTTCCATCTCAGAGGCTTTCTGTTCCTCATTGTCTCGTTTCTTCTTCGCCATCATTTCCTCGTAGAAGGACAATGGCGGAGGAACATTGTTTTTGTGAAGAAAACTTTGAACATGTTGTGCGAGTTCTAAAATCATCACCTGCGGAAAAGATCAGTAAGACAAGGTTTGGATCAAATCGAGGAAACTTGATAAGCAAGCATTATAATACAAACATTTTGAGAAAGCTCTATTTAGACCAGAATGATAAGAACAAAGGACAAATTTTGGACAGTAGTGTACAACATCAATTTATCTACCTCTCCAACAAGGCTGGCTGCCATACACTGAATTTCTTTTTCCAACTCAAGTACTTTGTCATTAGAAAGGCCTTTTGCATTTTCAAGTTTTAACACAGGACACCTGGCCACATATAAATTAATATATAAATGAAGTCAAATGGATAAATATCACCTTTGTTTGCTAATCTATAAATTGTTTAATTACCTGTTGGGATATTCTTCACGGTACTTAACATCTAAATCTAACGAGACATAAGATTTGTTCTCTCCCATACTTTCACATGGCTGCAATCTCAATGAAATGTGTGGAGAAATATCCTATAATTAAAACACATATATACATGACAGTATAAAGTTCATCATTCTGGATGAAAAAGGAAAAATAATTAATCATTCTAGATGGATTATTGGCTTTCATTCAATTCTACTATAAATTGCACTTTTACATTATACTGGAAATTGTCTGTACATGTTTCATGTAATGACAAATAATTTGACTGATTTACAGTAGCTCATTGTCTGATCAACTAGACACTTCTGAACATAGTTACAGACATTAGGTTTTGGAACTTGGCAAAGTTTATCAAACCATCTATAAGCTGAGATTTGCTGTCGCAATGGCTTCATCATATACAAATCTTTTGAGATGTATGGTTGTGGCACTTGACAAAGTGATGCTAATATTGACAACTGCTTGAATATGCAAGATATCCATAGTCATCACCTTGCCAAAGTTTGCATAAACGCGACAAAGACTTCAGCCACGTTCCTCGACTAGATCTCTAATAATTATGCTAGGTGTTTTTATTCGGTGATAAAGTGATAGTAATTGTGTGTTTTTATACCGTTAAATATAGGATTATTTCTACACAAAATTCACAAAATAATGAACAATTGACCACGCGGTCTTCAGACTTGAGATCCCTGACCTTATTTCCTTCATTAAGATCACGGAAATCATCCATAAAAATGGCTCTGAGTACTTCGACCTCATTCTCTTGCCGTTCCTTTAAACTGTCGCCCATTTTCTCACAGTATTACGGTGTAGGTTGAAGGTCTTTATGTAACGTGATAAAACACCATTGATAGCATCGTTCCATGAAAAAAAGTTGCTGTATTAAACAACGGCTTTATATCTTTCAGTCTTTCATTTTGAAGTAAGCTAACTTACAAGTCTAATATTCAGCAGTCTTCATATTACTACGCACTTTTCATGGCCTTTCGTGTTCAAAACAGGCTAAAATTTTAATTTTTGAACAAAAAACTTTGAAAAAAGTGCTGTATTTACATTTTTTACAGTATTATTTGTTGTTGTTTTTTTAAATCGAGCCCGCAATAATAAGCGGAAGGTGCGGTACTTTATGTAATCAACATTCTTTGTTACTAACGCAGAGTTGAACCGTTTTTTCACTGCGAAAAAGAAGGAAAGATCTAAGTGGAGGAAACCAACACTGAATGAATACTAAATGGTCTTTACTGCACCTCTTAAATGAACAGTTAAGACCTAATAAAGCTATCCAGTGTAAATAAGGTTAGTTTAGTTGAGGTTTTTCTTTTAGTGATACAGTTCTAGGGTAGAGATTAGTTAACGGACATCTAAAAAGTACAGTTTAGAACTAAATAAGGGAAATAAAGTTATTTAAATAAAGTTGTTTGAGCTATTAAATTAAAATGATAAATTTATATTATATTTTATTAAGAAAATGTTTATGTTCAAGTAACTATTGTTGTGTAGCTTAGGTTCCACCTTCAGTATCAACAAGATATGATCATGTTAAGTATCACAAAAGAGGTCCTGTCAGTTAAATGGACGCTGCCCAGCGCCTCGTAGGGGAGCAATTTAAAGTATCCTGTTCTTCACCCGGTTAACTAAGGTTACGATGTAAACAACGTCTCAAACGTGATGCTAAGAATGTATCGTGTTAGGGATTGCCCGCCCAAATAATCTGCCAATGACGTAGCGATTACTCGCATTTCCTTGAGATAAATATCAAAATCTTGTTAAGACACTCCACTCATGTCTAATGACCACACTCAAACAGTGCGGCTGTAGCGCCGACCATCTGTTATTACCAAACACTGCCTTACGACAAACACAAGAAAACCACATCGGCAAGAAAGCCTTCGAAAGACTTAAGGACCATTTGAAAAGAAAATCAGTTATGGCGTTGTCATTTTCAATCGACAGCATTCTCGCAAAACCCACTTATAGACCTATCAAGCCTATGTCTTCGGTCCACGTTCAGCCTTATCCAGCACTGATTATCACACCAATGACTCAGTACCGAGGTAAGTTTATGTTTCATTTCGCAGAGTAGAAAAGTTCTGTGAAGCGTTTTATGTCAGAAATCCTTGCAACGTAAGTTTTGTCAGGAACTTGAGATGTGATGATTACATCTTGTCATGAATGTTTTTACTCTATTTGGTGCAGTAAATTCATGTTTTTGAAAGATTCTATGTACAAAAAATTGCAACGGAATTCATGGTAAATCGTACTATATTCCTCAAACATTTGATATGAAATTCTCGCGAATGTGTGTAATTCTTACACCATTTTGCGAGATTTTACGAGCCCTGCCAATATTGACCTCAAAATGGGGCTAGCAATACAATTCACCATCTGTTGCAAACTTTCAAATTTGCCTTTGCAATTTTACAAAATTCAGCGGGAAATTACGTTATGAACCTATTAAAATCTCTGGTACAATTTCTGTCGCAAAACAGTAAAGATTTAGCGGGATTTTTTTGTACAGAACAATTATACATCACCGCGAGTTATTTGTTTAAACGCGAGTTTTATACTCGTTTTATTGAGATGGGTGCCTCCACAATCAGGGAATGGCTGGCTGCTGCGAAAGAATGCGCAGACAATTGGTGACTTTAAGGAATTATATATATATTTAGGCGAAAGAAGCAGGGATTTTAGACAGGTTTCTGTCTTCCAGCATTTGTACATGAACACTGACGGCCATGACACGCGTATGAGAAAATAATCACTTTCCAAAAACGACGTGTGATTGTTTTCTACTGTGCGCAATTAAACCATATAATCTCTGTATTCAAAAATAACTGACTTTTAATTCGTTATTAATTTGAAATCCTTTTATGAATCGAGGTATAATTTTGTCAATGAGTAATCCGGAATTCCACGGGTTTCAACATATTGCTTTACGCGATTCACCTACGCGGTATCCGTCTGAGAGAACTAGTGCTTTTTCGATGGACATTATCGTATATTTTTGAGAGGCGCTCTCGAAACTTGTTCATGCTTGTGTGTAGGAGGACTTCTCACAATATCACATCACCAATAATTTCCTGCTACAAGGATCATTGCAGTTCTAATAATATTCTGAGTCCGATTAAGGGGATCATGGTGATTATATGCTTATGGTGCATAAACCGACCAAGAGATTTAATTGCTATTTTTGGTCGTCGAACCGATGCCAATTATACGCAAACGAAAATAGAGCTGGTAAACATCGGTTTAAAACCATCAACCATTTTTTTTCTCAACTAGCGAACGGAGAGACTTCTCTTCCACCATTTCCCCTTGCGACGCGAAAGAGACGCAAGAGATATCGAACCATCTTCAATGAGAAACAAATTGAACTTCTGGAAGAACTGTACAGGACTACCCCGTATCCAGATTTGTATCAAAGGGAGAATGTCGCTCTTCACGCTGGATTACAAGAAGAGAGGGTCGAGGTGAGTCTCGATACGGTTTTGAGAACAATGCTCTTATATATGCAGGGTGAATGTATTCATCATTTTCTACCCAAACCTGGACATCGATGGGTCCCATTAAACTTTTACCTTGAGCGGTGCATAAGAGCTATCTAACCATGCAAAACAGCCATACAATCTCTTTCATACTGGCGCAAAGGATGCGGGATTCTTTGACTGAAGACGGCAAATCGATAGACAATCATTCCCAAAAATCATCCCTAAACTATTCCGAAACAACCATTCCGAATTATTTACCACACAATTCGCCAAAACTCCAGACAATAATACAATAAGCCAATTTCACAAATCAGATGTCGTTTTTTTTAAAATTATCTGTTGGTTAGGGTAAATATAAACTGATGAGCAATTATCGTTGTAGGGGAGCCTACCTAGGAGGTTTGTAAGGACTAGAAGACGTTTAGCACTTTCATTGAAATAATTCACACAAAAACAGCTTGGACCGAACGATGCATTAGGGGTAAATTAAATTCGCTTACACCCCCTAGACTGCAAATTACGAATGTCAACATGCTCTTCATATGTACCAAATTATACTTCGGCCATTATTTCTTGGCTTGTTTTAGACTTGATGTAATTCCACTTTACTAGAGCGATCTTCGATCCTCATAAGATTTTTTATGTTTGATGGGGAAATTTCCTGGGGGAATCTTCAATGCTTTAAAGTTTCGCCCCCGGCTTTTTCATTCCGAAAATAACAAGTTAATGAGAACGTTGCTGCATATTTTCCTTGAATAACCTGCTAATAAAAGGATGCCAAAATTCATGGAGATATCTCTCAATTGTCTCACAGGTCTGGTTCAAGAATAGACGTGCGAGAACTCGTAAATTGAAAAGGGCTGCGAATAAAGAGTCCTTAAAAGACAAGGAAGACGACGAAAATGTGGACAAACAGAAAAATGGAAAGACAGACGAAGATGACAGCTAAAAAGATGAGTCTCGGTGCTTCCCGAAATGGCCTGTTGTCGCACTGCCGGTTGAGCAAGTGAAGAAAATTAACTCCTGATCAAAAGCTAATCCCATTCAAATGCAAGAGGTTTTATAACGATGTGATGAACACTTTGAACAAAGTTAAACTAACAAGATGGCTTTTATCATAAGCCCAGGAGAATTGTGTACATAGTTTTTGGTCAAAAAGACTAAGTAATAATATTATAATTAGTTAAAAGAAGTTAGATATGGTTAAGATGTATGGATTTGTACAGTATTTGCTCGATAAAAATAATTGTTACACACGAATATATCTCTTGTTAATCAATCTTATTACGAATGACCCTGTGGTATTGAAATCAACTTATCTGATGCCAATTTAGATTGTGTTGCAATTAATGAAACAAATCAGGTTAAGAACCATATGCCTCGATTGCAAGTAACAGCGCCTATAGGCTATATCCACCAAGATAGCCAAGCTATGCAACCCTCAGTCCTGCAAGAAATCTTCGTAGTAGAACCGAAGGCCGGTTCACTTGAATTGAGTGAATTTGGCAATTTCGACAAAAATAAACTGCTTAGCAAATTTTGAGCAAAGAAAAAAAAAGTGGTATCAGCAGCCGATGTTCTAATCATATGCGTCTGGGTCGATGCGTCTTAAATTAGCATAAATAGCGTGCACGCAGTCAAGTTTTTTTTCTCGACGATTTTAGTGATTGACAGAGGTGCATTTCCTGAGCAACAAAAATATGCGTAAAACACGTTCCATCCTTAATTGCTATAATTCCTCAACCATGCACGTCACGACCGTTCCGTATGTCGACAAAAATGCGCGTAAATAAACTACAGCTGCGTATTTCTTTGAAATGAAGTAGAACTGAAACTTAGGATAGAAATCCGTGTCCTTTTTAAATAAGTTTATCAGCATAGAATCGTGATTTCTCAGCTCTTTCGACAGAAGGTGAGCACATGTACTGGGTAATGTAGACCAACCAGAACGGTCTGTCAGAAGCTTTAATTAATTCGTTCTATCGTATCTTTAATTGTTTTTTTTTCTGACAAGGTACACGATGCATCATTAGCAAAATGTGATGCGAGTTGGCAAAATCTACGAGAAATAAATTTACATTGCTTTCCTGAGGGTGGGAAGTGCTAATCCTTGATTTCTCAGCAGGAAAAAAACGAGAAAACTCGGATGAGAAAAAAGCGCGACACAAGGAAATTGCAGGGGTTTTCGTATTTTTCGATGCCAAGAGAAACACGAAGCCGGAAGATGTGTAATCCGATCACGGATTACTGCGAAAGGAAGAGATGGACGACCCCTGGTGTATCCGAGGATAATCGTGTTTGCCCCTAGCTGCCAATATACGCCCTAAACTGCTTAATGGATTATCGTTTTGGGATAATCTTGTGTGTTATGATTCCAATATACCAGGTTCTACCGAATCTAATCTGAATCACCGGGGATCGTGACCCGAGACAGACCAAATGCCGACCGGAGGAGAGGCTCCCTTTGCAAAGGTCCCGCAAAAGGTGCATGAATTTCGACTTTCATTAAAAACAGCAAAGATAACAGAAAGGATTTACGAATTCTGGAAGCAGTTTCGGCACTGAACGTGCAAGCACCGCGTATGAACTCCAAACATCAACGCTACGGGTCTCGACATAAACACGCAGGATTATTGCGGTGGGACCTTTCTTCATACAGCCTCCAGCGTGGGAAACTATCGATGCGCGTAAAATTTGTTAAATGCAATGCCAAGGTCGACTAACTAGCCTGAATTATCAGGCGATAACTCAGGCTGTCGCATGCAGGATCAGGAGATGCTCAAACTGCTGTAATTTTATATCTGGGTGGGGTTCTCACCCATCTGAGCGTGGGCCTGGTGATGAGGGGTCACCGAATGGAAGTAAATGTGACGACGACGACAAAACGGATGCTAAAGCAATAAACTTGTACATACCTGGTACGACACGGTACAAGTACTTTCATATCACTGCTATTCAAACCGTTGTAACCAAGAATGCATCGATGGCAACATTTCATACATCATTTCAACATCTATGTGGCTGCGTCCATACACACTAAAAAAGCCATATTCAAATTTTAAAATTGAATAGTTTCCTAAAGGGACTTCTCCAGCCTAGCTTATACGTTGCGAGAATGCAATTCAAGCAAATAGATAATGAAATGATAAACCTCAACATCTCATAATCTATTTGTTTGAATTGGATTCAACGCCACCAAAATGAGACGTACAAGCTCAACCATAAAACAGCTGGGCGGGTGTACAAAAAGGTAAAGTTTTAACTATAGTTAGTGACAGAATTGGCGAATCAGTGTAAATACGGATTAAATTACGCAAAATGGAGTTTAGATTCTTAACTGTGTTTTAAGCGGCCTCTGGGCACCACCAGAGGAAAAAATGTTATTTTTCAAGCGGGGTTTATCCCAAAACTCCCACATTGAATTGGACCGACTTTATGCTCATTTAAAGTCCCAAAATTCGCTGCACGCTCGCGAATTTTGTCATGGGTGACACTTCTTTTTGTCCATTCGTTCGAGTAGAAATAAAAAACACACGCACACGAAACGTACTACCCATATTTTTGTACATTTTTTCAGATTTTTCATATACGCTAAAATCCATACAATTACATGATACTATACTCGAAAATGCAAATGTGTACATTAAAAGTAAAATTATTCTACTTGGACTAAGTTTGAAAGAAAAAAAAAGAATACTGCTTAACATTCTAGCTAGCTACGTACACTTTGCAAGCAGTCAGGAGACACCATCGGCCCTTGTATGGTATCAAGCTGTCAAAATTGGGTAAATTTCTTACAGTAAGTCGTTTACAAAGCTGTGCTTAGAAAAACACAGGGCTTTTTCACCATTTTATATTACATCCAGCTTGAATTGGTTGGGTGTCAATTTTCCTACCATACAAATATGCCTGTTGGAGGCGAATAGTGTCTTGAATGTCGAGTATTGAATATTGAATACAAAATATACATTTGGAAATGAAAGATAAGATACACAAACTACCGTTGAACTATTTTCAAATGCAAATACAAACGAATCACACATGAACATGTACTAAGACATTCTGACGACGCGCGTTAGCTAAATTTAACTTTAGAAAAATCGGTGGGCAAAACTTCACCCACACCTATAAATTTTTCCATTAACGAATCGACAATTATTAAACGGCATGTATAAAGAGCTCAAGAACATAAACAAACAACCTTACAAATTACTCCACCGCGATATATACGAGGAATATTGCTTATAGTGGACTAGTGATGGAAATAAATCCATCCTAGTCACCATCGAATACATAGAAATACATGCTTGTTACGTCTATTTTTGACATGAACATTTTTAATAAAAAGTATATCAGCGCGCAGTGTTTTTCTTTATCTTACAAATCGGAGTCGAACCATTGCTGCTGGCCAGATTGTGGATGCCCGCCCATGTTGTAGCCAAAGTTAGGATCGTGGTTAGGGTATAGTTGCTGCTGCTGTTGACCATACTGCTGTTGTTGGTAGCCACCATGCTGAACTGGATAACCACCCTGTTGTTGCATACCCTGCTGCATGTATGGATCCATTTGGTAACTGGGATCCATTGGGTGGTGATCTCCCATCATTTGCTAAAGAAAGGACGAGTGGAGTGTTAAAGAGAAGCGTGTAAAATTCCATCGCGTTCTTGCGAATTTTGCTTCGATTTTCTTCTTTCGATAGATGTGGAAGAGTAATTAGTTACGAATCCTCTGATGAATAGGAGCTGTTATTTGAACATCAGTAACTAATTCACTCGTTCACATCTATCAAAAGAAGAAAATCGCAGATTTTATATATACACTACCTCGTTCATCTGCATATCATCTTTGAAGAGGGAACTCAGTTCAACGGACAATCGTTTGCGGTAATCCTGTGGCTTATCCTCAGACATGCGGAAGAGAACGGCGGCAGCGTACGCGGCAATGCCTTCGTTTGTTGAGCGAAGTAGTTCGGTCAATGGACCTGTAGCATTCTCCGCCTCGATCATCGTCGCACCTTCCTTCTCTTGGGACAGTTCACACAACACACCCGCGGCAACACGCTGGATATTCTCAATGTTAAACTGCAACAGCTGTAAAGGAACGATAAAGATGTAATTTCGTGTAATTTGATGTAACTTCAGATGTTGCTGGTTTTTCAAACAAACTTACCTGCACAAACAATGGGATCACGATCAGGCTACGAATGACAGCCCGGTTGTTTGGTTCTCTAGCCAGAATATGAAGAGCACCAACAGTTCCTTCAATAATGTCCTCCATTCTGACGCCGTCTACGGCATACGGCTGGCCACCAGCCCTGCGAATATCTTGATGGGCTTTCATTAAGAGTTGCACCATGCGAGGAATGCCACCGTTCTCGCGGATTGCTGCGTGGTTGGCGGGACAAAGCGCAAGGTTTCTTATCAAACCTACGACAGCCTTGATCAAAGGCCAACGAGATGGGGGGTTCAGCAGCTTGATGAGAGCTGGCAGACCATAGTGGACCCGCACGGCATTCTGCGCCTCTTCCGCGTCCTGGTGACGACTCGTGATGTGGCGAAGCGCGCAAACCTAGAAATGTCGAGAAGGATTTTAGAAATCTGTTTCACAAAAGAACAAAGCTGGGAATTAAATGAAATAGGTGCTCAACTGAATCTCAAGATGGCCTTGATTTTACTTTGACCAAACTCAGGAGCAACTATGTACATAAAATATAAATCGGTTCTTCTAAAATGCCACCTACTACTGGCTCGGTAATCTCTTCTCGTTCACCCGCCTGAACGCAGGTTCTCACGAGGGCCTCCACCCCGCCGACTCGGTACACAATCTGCTTGTTTCTCGGATTGTTACACGTCAGGTTTGACAAGACGCCTGCAGCACACGTGACCACTTGGACATCATTCGACGATAGCAACTGAATCAGCATTTGAAGCAGATTATCCAAACCGTCCACACGAGTTGCAGCGTCGGACATGTTTCTCAGTGTCCACAAGCAATTCTGCACTAAACGATTGCTCTGAGAACCAAGATGCTGAGCCAACACCTGCATACCATTCGCCTTAAAATAAACAAAGATTTGTATCAGGATCATTGGATCGTATTGAAAGTAGGATTTACTAAAAAAGCGAAGAGTCGTTTGGGTTATGTGCGATTTTTATCTTTTGATAGATGTGAACGAGTAATTAGTTACGAATGCTCTTATGTATAACTTAAACTCACCTCAACGATCGCTGGCTTGTTGCTGGAACACACGGACAAAACTTTCAAAACTCTGCTAGTTGTGAAAAGCAATTTTTCGTAACTATAACTTCGCATAATCCTGACGAGTTCTGCCGGTCCACCGGAAGCCAAAATGATCAACTTGCTTTCCTGGTTGCCATAAGCCAAGACATGAAGGCAGTCTAGAAATATAGAGTGAATATCTCTCTAATGTTGGACTCCCATTTTAAACAAATGCCAAATAGCAAAACTTTCACAACCACTTGGCAAGAGATACATGCAAACATACTTCTCTACAAAACAAGTTTTATTTTGTCACGGCAGTTTGATTTGTATAACATGACTGACAGCACATTACAACCGTAGATACAACCGTATTTTGATATGGCACAACAATTACGGGAAAAAAATTGGTCAAATATCAAAATTTCTTCCCCTGCCTGTCGTGCGTCGACCACTACTGCAGTTTCATAAGATATGCAACCACCTCAAGCAAAATGGGTGAACGCAAATGGTGGATTTTGATACTTATGCATGGTCACTAATATGTACCACAAAAATTGACAAAGGAGCAAACCTCATTGGAATTGAGAGTTTGTAACTAGAGTTAGGTTTGTTAGGGATACTCCATGAAGATGTTTCATAATTTGTCAGGTAACCATGCATCTGATCATATTACCTAAACCCTTTCATAATTATCCTATTTTCTACCCAAACATAACAAGTTTGATCAGGAATTGAGAGTTTGTAACTAGAGTTAGAGTTTGTAAAAAGGTTCAATAACTATTCATATTACCTAGTTCCTTACATAATTATTCTATCTTCTACCCAAAGATAATGAAAATCATTAATATTTTTTTCCCCTTTAAACAAAAGTAAAAATGTTACCCTCATTACACACCTGTTACAATGGCCAAGAATTTGACGTTGGATCTGGGCAACAGTGCAACCATCTTCTGCAATCCTCCAGCGAGTCGAACAGCCATCTTCGCACCTTCTTGGTGCAACAACAAATTGTGCAATGTTGTGATTGCATAGAACACAATTGACTCAATGGATGAGCCCAAAAGCTTCACAAGAGCTGGTATTCCTCCAGATTTGAAAATAGACAGCAACCCTTGCCTATGAATTATAGATTAACAAGTAATTTCTCAGTTTCAAACCTGCAACTGTGATTAACTGTTGATGTAATAGTATAAGCAGAGATTAGATAAAATGCGTTGGTATAAAGTCCTAGAGTAGTATTAAGGTATTTTGAAACCATTTCTACAGAAAAGTTTTGGTTAGAATGGTATTTATACCTGGTACCAGAGATGCTATGCAATGTACCAGCAATAGCTCTAACTGTCTCAACGTCACCAGATGTGTCCATGACCCGCACAAGCGACACCATCAGTTGGCCAGAATTAGCCAGAGCATGACGGCTTGCTTCTTTCTTTGAGAGCGCTTGTACCATTGACACAGCCTGGCCAACAACAGCCTAAACAATTTACAAGTTTAGTTACAAGTTTAGTGATGATTTAGCTAGACCTTTTTCCAAGGAGAGTAAAAATATTAAGGCGCTACATTTTTGTAAAACAAGGGTGGTAGAATGGATACAGTTTATACCGGGTCATTGTCAGCCAATAGTCTTGTCAATTCAGGGATGGCTCTGGTTGCCACATCTGCATCATCCTATAGATAAAAAAATTGAGTTACAGTATTTTCTCATTTTCTATGGTAACTTTTCCAGTAATCTCAAAAAATTCAAAAGTACAAAGTAGATATCATTGAAAAAGGCAACATTTTACCAGAAATATCACGGTTTAAAAAGGCAAACTACCTGGTAGTTGATGAGATCAACAACAGCATTTTTCACCATTTGTGATGGTTGGGACAAACGCTGGACTGCCGTATTTGCTGTTGGATCCATCTGAGGAATGGGCACATTAGATCCCTCATCCATTGGAATCTCTGGAAACATCGCATGCCGAATTCTCAAGCTAAACAGAAGCATTAAATTCAATTAGTTTCTAACCACCATGTACTGCAAGATAGTATGTACTGATTTAAAGCAATATATGATAAATATTTTACTGATACTTCACCTTCTGCTGGTGGTGAACTGTTCGTTCATGTCAGCCATTCCTTGAGCACCAAACTCTTGATCTAATGTCGACAGCAAGTTTTCTGTGTCTCCATGCAATGATGATGGTGCTGTGTTGTGTTCGCTGTTGATGCCAGAGTCAACATTATAACCATGTTGTTGGCCATACCACATCGCATTCTGTTCATCCTTCCCCATTTGCTGGCCATATTGCATGTGACCACCTTGCTGCATATAGTTCGACATCTTTCACCTGGTTTAGAAACATTTCAACACAAAATCAATAATTTTCTCCCAACACCCTGCTGCAATTATAAACAATAAAACGTTTGAAAGACATGTTTGAAACCCCTCCAAAGAGACTACTGCTTGATAAAAATGTAATGATTTTGCAGTTTGCAACGTAAAATTAACATCATTACCATGAATAACTCTTCCAATAACCAGCAAAACCCACAAAAATTAACGGTGTAAACAGGCTAAATTAAGGTCAAGCCACTCACCGAAGTTGGCAATGTGTAAACAATGATAACTTTAAATAAAAAAATTACCGTTCTTTATTCGAACTTATATCTTTTTATGGACAAAGAACGTGAATTAAATGCTACATTGCAATACATTTATTTAATACGAAACAGTTCGATCGAACGCCTCTGGAATTCTAATTATACACCGAATGTCGGAAAGAAGCCAATATTTTACTTCGGTGGGCTTTGTTGGTGTAAAGATATGTAAATCTCCCATAAAACGCATGTTTTTCATCGAATTTCGTTAAAATTTACTACGATGTAAATTCCACAATGATTTGCTCTTCATATTGAGTTATAAACGGCGGAAAACATACATTGAAAGGCGAATATCATGTCCTGCGTAGTAGACACAATACAAGTGAAAAAACCGGCCATGCTCAACTTAGATTACTCCATATTTCTGTTTTTAAACATATTTCACTGGACATAAAAAAGCCGTATTCGACTTCAGATAAGGTAAAATATGTTTATTACACTCGAATGTGACTACCACTCAACGATTTCGGACGAGAAAAGGTCATAAACGACAAATAAACATCAGGTATTTGTACATATAGCGTCTACGAACAATCCTTCGTATTCCGTTTTCAGGTCCGAAATCTTTAGTGTTTTCGTCGTTTTAACACTTACCTATGCCCGGGAAAAAGCTTCTGGACGAAGTTCCGTATCTGGGCTGCCTTCCTTTTGCCAAATTGTGATGTTACAGCCCGACTATTACTCAAAATATTCAATCAAAACTATATAAATATATTTTCGCCTCAAGTATGTCAGGGCGAAGCGATGTTGTATGGGAAGAAGCCACATATACGTCACCACAGCGGAGAGCTTCTCGAATCTGATTGGTCGAGAGCGGAGATTGGAATGCGAATGCAGATTTGCATTTCAATCAACCAGTCAATAAAGGCGCATTTCATAAACAAAACCTTCAATAGCTCAGAATTTTGGCAACTGCACATTCTTTAGCAGGAGAAACAAGAAAAAGGAGCGCACAATTGCTTGAATTTAAAGTTTTCGTTGCCACTGGCTATGCCTAACTCGAAGAAAGTGTTTTGAAATGTTACATAAAGACTCTTACAATTTTTGCAAAAGACTGTAAAGTGCGAGATATGCCCTGAAGGCGTAATGATTTACAATTGTACTGCAGCTACACGACATTTCCTGTTTTCTTTTATTTGGTTGGTAGGGTAGAAACATGTCCGAAACGGAAAGCCTAGGCAAGAATTGATACTGCACTTTTACAATAGCAGGACTATGACAGTAAGGATTGTTCCAAGAAACCAGCGGAAATTAATTCTCACTTTCTAGGATTTTGAAGTTCAAACTCGCTATTAAGCGATAGCATCGACAGATAATCGTTTTCGGAAATTAGAGAACCTGCTAAACTGGCCGTTCACACGACCTTGGACAGTAAAGTCAGTAAAGGAAATAAAGGCAGTTTTAAATTGAAAAAGATGAATTCCACGCTGTGTGGTAATAACTGGATGAGAATGGATAAGACGTACTCCAAGTTTTCCTCAACATACAAGTGTTCCTTTTAAGAACAATCATAAAATTCTCTTTTCCACTTCTTAATTAACACCAGATTTGAGTTGATTTCCATTGACAACCCTTGAATTCATTTTATGACCTTTAGTACTAAGATGAAGCCTTCATTTCCAACGAGGGATTAAAGAAGAGCCTTTATTTTAGTGATAACGTTGAAGTGATACTCGCAGCCAGGAACTGGCCCACGGAAAGCAATGATTCTCGATAATGCTCATGAATCATGACTGCAGCTCGACAACTGCCGATTACCATTAGAAAAATTCTTAAGACTAGTACAGAAAGTGAAGAAGTGAAGAAGGTTCTCGTTTGGCCAGAACTACTCAAGATCGAATTAGCACGTAGAAGAAAGGGTAAAAACTCGCGTCTATTCCAGTACACTGAACTACAACATATACCAGGAAAATTCGTACATCTGACGGCGCTCAAGAGAGGTGGCAATGACTGTGATTCGAGTGTGATAGTCTGGTTTGAACTGCTTATAATATTCAACGCGTATTAAAGTTTGTTCAGTAATTATTATAATTATCCACCTGGCGCGCATTCCTGTGGGTTAAGATGCTAATTATGTATTTGAAATATATAGATCATTAATCATAATCCCAAATTAATTTTGTTACACTAGGCGAGCCAGTCATTAATGTGAAAGGCAACAGTTCATTGTCTGAACATGCGCTCTTAACGCGGCGTATTAGTTAGAAGGGATTGACCTGGAGCCGTCGGCTCTCGATACTAAACTAAACAAACTATATACTGCTCTAATTGTTCAATATTCTCCAGGTATTTTAATACCATTACACTTCCCAGTAATCCAGTACATTCGAAGTTAGTTGAGTTGATTCCTGAAGTAAAACTGGATCCAATGTAAGATCCTTACTCGATAGAGTCGTCAGCTGAATACTGAATACAAATTATTAGAGTTCAATTAAGGTTTCCTCCTGTAGTAACACACTGCTCAATACGAAATTATCTTTACTAGACCTCTAGGAAAAACAGCTTCGAACTGTAGAGCTATCCAGTTCAAAGAAAGCTGGCTAAAGTTTAGTTTAGGGTTCCACCTGTTGTAACACTGGATCAATGAAGGTTCTTCCTAGTCTCCTAGAGTTACTGGTCACTGACAAGAGGGGACAATCAGATTATCTATCAGGGTTATGGGATATAAATAAACTAGATTTATAGTTTAGGTTTCCCCGTGTGAAGTGTGTTAAAACTGAGTTTACACCACACGGTTTAGAGTAGTAACAAGATAAAGAAGTCGAAGATACCTATCAACGAAAGATAACTGTGAAAAAGAAGTTGGATAAAGACCTCTGGCTCTCCACTTGTTTATTCATTAGAAACGAGGTTTGCATGAAGCTTTAGTCTAGCTTCGACATTTTCAGTGGTTGTTTTGAGGTATGCATGTATGTTTTAATCATACAGGTGCGTGGATCCCAAGCTCGGTACAGCTGGAGAACAATAATGAGATTAGATACACAACCATCACTTCACCAAAAAGAATAAACAAAGTTGGCGTTCAGTTTGTTTCTCTCATCAACGAAACTATGAGACCACGTTTCTTGATCTTTATAGTAGCGACTGATGAATTACGACCCGCGACAAGAATGGCACCATTCTGTCCGGATGCTTTGGATCCATTGTGCAAACATTTGGAATACGCACTTGCCGCGACGTGTTTAGATGATAAATCAATTCGGTTGGAAGATATTATGTAATTAACACTTGAAATCTAACGAGTACGCTTGGTTGTTTTGCAGTTAACATCTTCTCACTAATAACTCACTCACTTCGGACTGAACTACAACGACACAGCTGCACTGGATTGTGAAGAGATCGAATGAGAGAAATTCTTACTTCAGTAAAGCTGCCTTGTATGAAAGTAAGATATTGTATTTTGATATTGTTATTCATTGCTTGCTGTGGTTAGGGTATACAGGGATGGTGTAACATGCATAGTAAACTTAGCCATTCTTTTGGTAGATTGAAAATGCTGGTGCGAAAGAGCTTGAGTCAGTCGCAAAAACTAAATCTCTTGCCAATGTTATTTTTGTAATAGCTGGAAGTATTGCGTTTTCTAGGATGATAATTAACATATATTGTTCATTCCTCTCATATTTTGAATACCGAGGGGGGATTTGGCAGACAATTAATATCATGCAGAATAATAACATCGTGCAGAAAGGTATAATAAGCATACCACCTGCCGTACCACTACCACGGTACCACCATCTGTGATAAGTGCAGTTACAGATGACCCATGCTAATTCAGCATACCCTTCAAGGCAACCATAGACGGACCATACCTTACACCTATATGGATTAGAGTGTATAACCCACCCTTTGACTGTATGTAGGAGTGACAACTAGTGAACAGACAATATTTGTCATTCCTCACTAGTAAATCTTTCGGGGGGGCGACAGCGAATATAATAGACCTTATGTATAATGACGCATCAAGCCGTGACGCCTGCAGGAAATTTTGGGTTTAGTAGTCACTGCGAAAAATTCAAACTTCAAAATTTCCCACCGTGACTACTAAGACCAGAATTCCCTGCAGGTGTCACAGCTTGTTACGTCATCATGCATAAGCTCTATTGCCATTGCGTGGCTTCATTTCTTGCGTGCTAATCAGTTGGATGTTAAAGCCCTTCTTTCATCCGCCCGAATTTACCGTCTGCGCGAAGGCGAGAAAACACGAAGGCCTGAAACTCAGGCCACATTTACGAGCAAATGCGCTATCCAGGATTTTCTCTCAGATCAGTCATCTGCTTTTTAAGTCCTGATCAGTACAATTGATCAGTACACTGTTCCTATTTGGAAGACAAAATTTCAACTCCAATTCGCGTAAAATCGCGTTTAACGGTAAAATAATAACTTTGATTAAAACTTGGAAACCTCGGTCTCAATCTCATCAGGTTCCAATACATCTTTCGAGGTCTAATCGGTTAATTATCCTCGTTATCAAAAAGGCCGATCAATCATGACGCAATAGCAAAAGATTGAAGCCATCAACGTAAGCACATGCCTATGTTTTCGTTTTTATCTTTGACAGTGCATGGCTGACGAGTTATGTGGAAATTGGAAAAGCTGCCTCGTGTGCTGCCCCTAAGGTTATTGTGGGGTTATTGTGAGGTGTACGTACATATTGATTTTCAGCATGTTAAAATGAGAAAATGGCTGGCAGCCATAGAAGCACATGCAGGTTTCTTTCATGAAAATTACTACGTGACTAAAAGACCTTCACAAAAGGACAGTTTCGAGTGGGTGGACAAACAAGACCACTCTCGCTGCATCACTGAAATGGACGCGGGTTTTAAATCTAGCGATACATGTGTGCTTTTCTGCCATTGACAGATTTTGCCATTGTTTTAGGACCATACTGGTCCACATGCTGAGCGAAGTACAGCAGTAATAGCCTGATCATTGAAAAATAGTAATGAATAATCTTACGGATATCAAGAAACTGACATTGAAGTTACAATGCAACTGATCAGTGATTGTATAATTTTTATGCAGCGTAATTGAGAAAAAAAATCTTATGGTATATGCTATCTGAAATATATCTATTTCAGCATTACAGATACGATCCTTTTAAAGTTTTTCTAAATTTCGTCAAAATGATTCCAGATTTAAATTCGGGACGCTGCGTTCAACAGAATCAGCGAAAGATGCGTCGTGCTCTGCCAATGTTCAGCCTTTGCTGAGATATAAATTTGCCTGGAACCTTTAACTTTGCCTTGTTTTCGATTTTCTTGAAGCGATAGGCTAAGCTAATTGGCTTTCTCGAAGTGCCAATATTCCGTCATTTTATTCCTAATGGCTACTGTATATCCACAACTGGTAATCCTGCGAGGATATACTTCTGCCTTTCTATTAGTCTCATATGACCCAATGCGTTCAGATTTTCCAAATTTGATGAAAGCGATTCTGCCTTTATGAAAATGGCAATCTAGTTAATTCATCAAGCAATATTGGCAAAACTTATCGATCGTTCAAAATCAATACAATGCACGTGGAACACAAGATAATCGGTTTGGATCAGCATTTTGATCAGCATTTTGATCAGTATTAAATCTACACTTTTTGCACGTGTTCTTATTAATTACCCAAGGGCGATGTTCGACACGCCCTCCAAATAGACGGTCGACCGTTTAATGCAGTCACTTCGCAACTGCGACTTTTTAAAATTGACGATCTGATAATCATATTTGCATACGTTTTAAGTGCTTTTCAAGATTTAAAACCGCAT